TCACTGTGAGGACGTCAGCACCAAAGTCCCCTCCAGCTGCAAGGAGGGCTGCCGCTGTCATCCAGGCTTTGTGTTGAATGAGGACAAATGTATACCCAGAATTCAGTGTGGCTGCAAAGACACTCAGGGTATCTTCATCCCGGTGAGTGGGTATGGAGAGTCGGATTGGGGTCCCCTTTCTCCTTCCCTCTGCTTCTCTGAGCCTGGGATGCTCATATCTGAATGGCTGGCCCCGGAGTGTGAACGTTGATCAGGGCCTGGCACTCAGTAGACTGGTACTCTGAAGTGTGAGTCACCTGTGAGGTGTCAGGAAAGCAATCCAACTCTTTACCAGACAGCAGTCACCCATTTGAGGGTTCCAGGAAAGCAATCTACTGCTGAGCCTTGCCCTCAACTCCTCACTGGGGAGTTCTACACAAACCTTCTACCGAGGAACCACATCCACCAGCACCAAATGCAATGAAAAAAAAAAGATTTTATCAATTTTATTTATGTGTATATCTGAGTGTCTGTGTGAATGTGTGCCACGTGAGTACACATGCCTGAAGAGGCTAAAAGAGGACATCAGATAACCTGGGACTAGAGTTATAGATAGTTTTGAGGATCCCAATGCAGGTGCAGGAGTCTAAACTTGAATACTGTAAAAGTGCAGAAAGTGCTCTTAAATGTTCAATCATCTCAGGCTGGAGAGATGGCTCAGAGGTTAAGAGCACTGGCTGCTCTTCCAGAGGTCCTGAGTTCAATTCCCAGCACCCACATGGTGGCTCACAACCATCTGTAATGAGATCTGGCGCCCTCCTCTGGCCTGCAGGGACACATGCAGACAGAACACTGTATACATAATAAATAAATAAATCTAAGAAAAAAGTGTTCAGTCATCTCCCCAATCCCTGAATGCAATTTTTTTTTTTTTTTTGGTTTTTCGAGACAGGGTTTCTCTGTGTAGCTTTGCACCTTTCCTGGAACTCGCTTTGGAGACCAGGCTGGCCTCGAACTCACAGAGATCCGCCTGGCTCTGCCTCCCGAGTGCTGGGATTAAAGGCGTGCGCCACCACCGCCCGGCTCTGAATGCAATTTTTTTAAATCGAATATCTTCCACCTGTGCATGGTTGACTCAGTAGATGGGTAGAGTGTGTAGATCATCCATCCAGGCTGTGAAGTTGTCTTTTCAGAACACCCTGCCAAGGCCTCACTCCCTTTCTCTTCCCATGGCTTCTGCAGGCAGGCAAGACCTGGACCTCCAGAGGCTGCACCCAGAGCTGTGCCTGCACAGGAGGCACCATCCAGTGCCAGAATTTCCGGTGTCCCCAAGGGACCTATTGCCATGACACCAATGACGGCAACAGTAACTGCACCAAAATCAGTAAGGGGCCGTGGGGGAAGGTTGAGGAGGTGTGCTCCTGGGTGAAGGAACCAGAGAAGGGCATTCTGAGAGTGTAGGGGTACCACAGTGGGGAGGGGTTCTGGGAACCCATGGCTGGGCCACATCCTTTCTCAACGATACTTTCTCAGCTGTTAGTTTTCCACACAGACTTGGGAGATCTTCCTCATCCTTTTTGCTCTCCTTCTTCTTTTTAAAGGTGTATGTGGGTGTGTGAGTGTGTGGGGGTGTGTATGTCTGTGTGTGTGAGTCTGTGTGTATGAGTCTGTGTGTGTGAGTGTGTTTGAGTGTATGTGAGACTGTGTGAGTATGTGAGTGTGTGTGAGAGTATATGTGTGAATGTGTATGAGTGTGTGTGTGTGTGTGTGTGTGTGTGTGTGTGTGTGTGTTGGATCCCCTGGAGCTGGAATTACAGCGTATTGTAAGCCACTCACCCTGGGTACTGGGAACTGAACTCAGATGTTCTACAAGAGCAGCAAGCAATGTTAACTACTCTCCAGTCCAAGACCCACTTTTCTTTCTTCGGAACTTGATGCATCCCCCATGTTCAGTAAATGTCTGCTAAAGAAATAGCAAAAGGAAAGAAACAAATTTTCCCCCAGTTCTGTGGGTTGTTTGGCATAGTGGGGGGTTTCCTCTGCTTCCTTGCACCATTCTGTTCCTTTCCACTAACCCCACTTTCTCTCCATCCGAAAGCTCTGCAGTGCCCCGCCCACAGCCTATTCACCAACTGCCTACCTTCCTGCCTGCCTTCCTGCTGGGACCCAGAAGGCCTCTGTAGTGGCACCAGCCATAACGTCCCCTCCACCTGCAAAGAAGGCTGCGTCTGTCAACCTGGCTATCTGCTATATAACGACAAGTGTGTGCTCAAAATTCAGTGTGGCTGCAAAGATGCCCAGGGTGTTCTCATCTCAGTGAGTGGGCATCTAAAGTGGGATTGGTGGGGGATGGGAAATAGCTCAGTGTATAAAACATTTGCTCTGCAAGGATGAGAAGCTGAGTTTGAATCCCTACAACCCACGTAAACCTTGTTAGCCTGTCTCTAGTCCAGGGGCTTCTACTGGGATGTGGGGGGCCAGGGACAGGAGAATTCCCAGAAACTTAAGGGCTATCTAGTCTTGTGTGGGCAGCAGTGAACAATGAGGGAAAAAGAGAGTAACCACTGTCTGGTAAAAAGTGGAAGGTGAGAACCAGTACCTGAGGTTTTCCTCTGTCTCCACATATTCATGCACTCCTATTTATAGGCATGCCAAAGCGTACGCGCGCGCACACGCGCACACACACACACACACACACACACACACACACACACACACACACACATTCTAAAAACTGAGATTGCACCGGGCAGGAGGCACACCCCTTTAAGCCAAGCACTCAAGAAGCAGAGGCAGAGGCAGGCAGATCCTGTGAGTCTGAGACCAACTAGATCGACAAAGTGAGTTCCAGGACAGCCAGGGCTACAAATTGAGACTGACTCAAACAAAGCAAAAACAAACAAGAAAACCAGCTGGGATTGAGAGCGACTTCCTCTTTTCTCCTGCTTTTCTTTGCTTGGGATGCTCCTGTCTGAATTGATAAAGGTTAGGCAAGTGCTCCTCTGCTGAGCCATCCCCCTGTTCCCTCCCAGGGACATTCTGGTCAGGAGACATGAGACTTGGTCACTACCTAGCCCTCACTTGAGGACTGGGGCTGAGCTCTGCCACTGAACCACACTCCCCATACCCCACTGGGGAATCTTAGCAGATACTCTACCATGAGCCAGACCCCTAGCCCATCACTGGAGGATTCTCGGCAAGTGTTCTACAGCTGAGCTCGACCTTCTCCAGCCACCATCACTGAGGATCCTAGGCAGAATTTCTGTATCTGAGCTATGTTCCCAAGCCACCAGTAGAGGATTCTAGGCTTAACCTCTAACACTGAGCCTCACTGTCAACTCCTCAGTGGAGGACTCTAGGCACGAGCCATACCACTAAGCTGTGTCCATAGCCGCAGGTGCATTTCCCCCTAAGTCTTTTCCTCCCATGTTTAGGATAGATTCGGAACCTGTTGATAGGGAGGGCCAGGTCAGCCCTTCAGACAGGAAGTGAGGCTCTTTCCTTCTAACCAGTCCCTCTGTCCTGACTTCCTTTCTCCCCCTTGACTTCTGCAGGCAGACAAGACCTGGATCAACAGAGGCTGCACCCAGAGCTGTACCTGCTCAGGAGGGGACATCCTGTGCAAGGAATTCCAGTGTCCTCCAGAGACTTACTGCAAGGACACCGAGGATGGCAACAGTAACTGTGCCAAAATCAGTAAGGGAGCCACGGGGAAGGTGGGGAGGGTGTGCATGTGGCTGGAGGGATCAGAAGGGGAAGAAGGAGGGTAGTCCTCTAGGCTTTTAATTAAGGTGTGGGGTGGGGGTACCACCATGGGGAGAGATTGTGAGAACCTATGGCTGGGCTGGATCCCATGGTTAATCTTTATATTGTTAGTCTCTAAATTGACTTGGCAGATCCAAATTCTTTTTAAAGATGTTTTTAAGATGTGTATAATGGTGTGCCTGTGTGTGTGTGTGTGTGTTTATGCACCTGAGTGCAGTGCATGTGGAGGCCAGAAGAGATGCTGGATCCCCTGAAGGTGGAGGTACAGGAGGTATTGAGGACCTTACATGGATATTGGGATCTGAATTTAAGTTTCATATAAGAGCAGCAAGCAATTTTAAAGGCTGAGCCATTTCTCTAGCCCCCTTGTCTGGTTTCTGTAGCTTGCTCACTTGGCCTTCTAGGTCATCTCCAGTAATTCCAATCTCCTTCCACCCCATAGCTCTGCAGTGCCCAGCCCACAGCTACTACACCAACTGCCTTCCCTCCTGTCCACCTTCCTGCTCGGACCCTGATGGCCACTGTGAGGGCACCATCACCAAAGTCCCCTCCACTTGCAAGGAAGGCTGCATCTGTCAACCTGGCTTTGTGCTATACAACGACAAGTGTATACTCAGAATTGAGTGTGGCTGCAAAGATGCTCAGGGTGTTCTCATTCCGGTGAGTGGACATCTAAAGTGGGGTTGGTGGGGGATAGGAAACGGCTCAGTGTAAAACATTTGCTGATAAGAGCTGAGAACCTGAGTTTGAATCTTGGTGGGGTGTGTCTGTAATCCCAGGGCTCCTCCAAGGAGATGGGGAAGATGGTCATGGTAATCCCTAGAAACATGTGTGGTCAGGAGTGGACAACAGTAGAGAGAGCGCAGAGGGGTGGGGGGAAGGGAAGGAGAGAGAGAGCCTCAGTACGAAGTAAAAGATTTTTACTTTAGGGTTCAAGACTGTCCTCTGACCTCCACACACATGTGCTCCTGCCACACACACTCCGTAAATACATAAATCTTTTTGTGAAAAGTGAGGTTGAGGGCCATTTTTTTCATTCCTTCTGCTTTTCTCCAACTAGGATGCTTATGTTCTTAGGGCTAGTCCTGTAGTATAAAGGTTGATTAGGTTCTAGAACATGCCATGGCCTCAGCCCCTCTTGGGAAATTCTAGTCAAGTACTCTACAACTGAGCTGTACTCCATCCCTCAGTGTTGGATCCTAGACAATTGCTGTACCTCTAAGTCATACCCCTAAACCCTCTAGAGGATTCTAGGCGAATGCTGTACCTCTACACCACTGCCAACTGCCCTGTACCACTTACCACGGAGGATTCTAGACCTAGGTTCTACATCAGAACTGTGCTCCCAAACCCCAAGCTGAGGACTCTGGGGCTGACTTCTATCACTGAATCATAATTAGCCCCTCCCTGGAGGATTCTAGGCATGCACTGTACCACTGACCTGTGTCCACAGCCTTCAGTGCACCTTCTCCCATAGACTTCCCATCCGTAGTTGGCTAAATGAATACACACAGAACCTGCAGACAGGGAAGGCAAAGGTAAGTCCCTCAGACAGGAAGCAAGACTGTCTTTCTCTAATAATGCCCTCACTTCCTGTCCCTTGACTTCTGCAGGCAGATAAGACCTGGATCAACAGAGGCTGCACCCAGAGCTGTACCTGCATGGGAGGGGTCATCCAGTGCCAGAATTTCCAGTGTCCCTCAGAGACTTACTGCAAGGACACCGAGGATGGCAACAGTAACTGTGCCAAAATCAGTAAGGGAGCCACAGGGAAGGTGGGGAGGGCGTGCATGTGGCTGGAGAGCCCAGAGGCAGGGCAAGATGGAGCTTAGTCCCCCTGGCCTAAGAGGTACCACAATAGGAATGGATTGTGGGAACCTGTGGCTGGACTGGGTCCCTTCTCACTATTAGCCTGTTAGTTCTCAGTCTCACATTAACCTGGAAGATGTATTCTTTTTAAAGATTTTATTTTTAATTCCATGTATAATGGTGTGTGTCGGTATATGAGTATGTGCACCTGAGTCAGTTCATGCAGGGGCCACAGAGGACACCAGATGCTCTGGAGCCTGAGTTACATGAAATTTTTGAACAAGACCAACTTGACTTGGGTCCACCACAAGAACAGCAAGTAGTCTTAACTGCTGAGCCATCTCTCCAGTCCCAAGAAATCCATTCTTACTTTTTTCCTTAGGACTTGGCACAAAGTTCACACTCAGTAAACGTTGGCTGAATGGATAACAAAAGACAGGGGGAGCTCCACAATCTCTTGAGCATTCTGCCTAGTCTGGTTTCTGTAGCCTGCTTTGACCCTGTGTTCCTCTCCATTAACCACACTCTCTCTCCCCACAGCTCTGCAGTGCCCCGCCCACAGCCGCTACACCAACTGCCTACCTTCTTGTCTGGCTTCCTGCTCGGACCCAGAAGGCCAGTGTATGGGCTCCAGCACCACAGCCCCCTCCACCTGTAAGGAGGGCTGTGTCTGCCTATCTGGCTTTGTGCTGCATGAAGACAAGTGTGTGCTTAGAATTCAGTGTGGCTGCAAAGATGCCCAGGGTACTCTCATCCGGGTGAGTGGGCATCTAAAGTGGGATTGGTGGGGGCTGGAGAGAGAGAGCTCAGTGGGTAAAATGTTTGTGCTCCCTGGCGTGAGGGCACGAGTTTAAATGTGTACAACCCGTGTAAGCCTTGGTGGTGTGCATGTGCAATCCCAGGGCTCCTACTAGGAGACGGGAGGTGGTGGTAGGATAATTCCTAGAAACATGACAGCTGGCTAGTGTTGTGTGGGCAGGGGTGAAGGACAGCAGCAACGAGAAAAGAGAGCCAGAGATGAAGTGAGGAAGGGAGGGGATGGAGGGAGAGAAAGAGACTGTCCCAGTACAAGGCGGAAGATGAGGACCAACAGTAGAGATTATTTCTGACCTTCACATGTCCCTCTGTGCTCCCCGCTCCTCCCTAAAGCTTCTTGGAAAGGTAGGACTGGGGACCACTTTCTCTTGTCCTATACTTTCCTCTCTGTGTGGCTGGTCCTGTAATGTGAGGATTGGTGATGTCCTGGAACATGCTAAGCCAGTGCTCTACTGCTGAGGCTCCCCCCAGCCCATCTCTGGAGTCTCGTCGGGCTGTAACCCTGCCACACACTCCTTGGCCCTCACTGAGGTTCCGTGCCTAAGTGCTACTCCTGAGCCACCCTGCCATCTCCTGTGGCTTCTTGGCAGCTGTCATACCAAGGAGTGAGGTCTTTACCTTCTATCAGTGATCCCCAGGCAACCGGTCTACTGCTCAGCCAGAGCCTTGGCAAGTTCCTTACAACTGAGCCATACTCCCACTGAAGGATCCTAGGCAATTTGGTACTGCAGAGGCATGCTCCTAGACTCTCTTAGAGAATTCTAAGCAAATGGTCTACCTCTAAGCCACAGCCTCCTCAGCCCCTCCCAGCCTCCCGGCACTCATCACTGAGGATTCTGGGCATAGGTTCTGCATCTGAGCTGTGCTTCCAGGCACCAAGGGAGAGAGAGTTCTCTGCCCTAGTTCTCCGGTGAGCCCCACCCCAGCCCCTTACTGAAAGGGTCCAGCCATGGACTATACTGTTGAGCTGTGTCCACAATCCCAGAGGCATCTTTTTTTTCTCCAAATATTTTCCCACCCATGATTGGCTTACTTGTTGATGTGGAACCTGTTGATAGGGAGGGCAATGTCAGCCCTTCAGACAGGAAGTGAGGCTCTTTCCTTCTAACCAGTCCCTCTGTCCTGACTTCCTTTCTCCCCCTTGACTTCTGCAGGCAGACAAGACCTGGATCAACAGAGGCTGCACCCAGAGCTGTACCTGCTCAGGAGGGGCCATCCTGTGCAAGGAATTCCAGTGTCCTCCAGAGACTTACTGCAAGGACATGGAGGATGGCAACAGTAACTGCACCAAAATCAGTAAGGGAGCCACGGGGAAGGTGGGGAGGGTGTGCATGTGGCTGGAGAACCCAGAGGCAGGACAAGATGGAGCTTAGTCCCCCAGGTCTCAGAGGTCAGAGATAGGAAGTGCCATGGTGAGGAGGGCTTTGGAGGATCCCTGGCTCAGCTGGGTCTCTTCTCAGGGTTAGTGTCTCAATGGTTAGTCCCCGACATTAAGTTGGGATATTCGTTCGTCTTTACCTTTTTACTTTTAATTACACCTATTAATATATGTCTGTGGGTATGTCACGTGAGTATACTGCGCATGGCAGCAGGAAGTGTGGGTTGGGTCCCCTGGAGCTGAAATTCCAGGAGACTGTGAGCAGCACTATCTGGGTGAGGTGAACCCAGCTCAGTTTCTCTGCAAGAACAGCATGTGCTCATAACTGCTGAACCATCTCTCCAGCCCCCAGGGATCCATTCTTCCTTTCCTTGAGGCTGGGCACTAAGTTCACGATCACTAACTGTTTGATGAATGAATATAGCAAAAGGAAAAAAGCCATCCACTCTCTAGCATGCCAATATGGTTTCTGTAGCCTCAGCTTGCATTGACCATTTATGTTCCTGTCCCCTAACCGTGCTCTCTCTTTCCCATAGCTCTGCATTGCCCGGCCAACAGCTACTTCACCGCCTGCCTTCCCTCCTGTCAGCCTTCCTGCTCTAATATGAATGGCCGCTGTGAGGGCCCCAGCACTAGAGCCCCCTCCACCTGCAAGGAGGGCTGTGCCTGTCAATCTGGCTTTGTGCTGCATGACGACAAGTGTGTACCCAGAAGTCAGTGTGGCTGCCAAGATGCCCAGGGTGCTCTCATCCCGGTGAGTGGACATCTAAAGTGGGGTTGGGCTGGGCTGGAGAGAGAGCTCAGCAGGTAAAATGTTTGTCTCTCCGCTCCACCTATTTGAGGACCTGAGTTTGAACTGTATAACCAATGTAAGCCTTGGTGGTGTGTGTCTATATCCCGGGGCTCTTTCTAGGAGATGGGACAGAGGGAGAGGATGCTTGTGAGCTAGCTGTTCTTGTGTGAGTAGTGATGAACAGAGCCACAACATCGGGAGTTGAGTGGGAGACTGCTGAATACCATACAAAGTGGGAAGTGAGATCATCCTCTGACCCCCACGAATACATGTGTCCTCACCTACAAGGCCACACAGATACACTCTCAGAACCATTGTAAGTGGGACTGGGGGGTCATTTTCTTCTTTCTTCTGCTTCTCTCCATCTGGGACGCGCCTAACTCCACAGCTGGTCCTGTAGTTGGAAAGTTGGTCTTTCCTGGAACATGCAAGGCAGGTGCTCTACTGCTAAGCCATGCCCTAAGCCCCTCCCTAGAGAATCCTAGTCAGAGGCTCTAAGATAGCCATGCTCCCAGTCCCACAGTGGTGGCTCAGTTGCTCTACTACTGAGCCATGCCCCCAGCTACTCTTAAAGGATTCTAGGTAAAAGGTCCTGCATTTGAGCTACAGTCCCAGGCTCCACTACAGTCCCAGGCTCCCATTGAAGGAGTCTAGGCCTCAGCTCTACCAGTGAGCAACAGACCAGCCCCTTGCTGACTGAGATGTGCTCACAGCCACGGTGTGTCTTCCCCCGTGAATTCTTTGCATCCGTGTTTGTTGTGGTCAGCTGGAGTGGAACGTGCTGAGAGCACACACCACGCTCTTCTCAGGAGGCAAGGACCACCCAGAGCCGGCACCTTGCTGCCACCTGCCCTCTCTTCCCGTGCCCTCCGCAGGAAGGCAAGACCTGGGTCACCAGAGGCTGTGCTCAGAGTTGTGACTGCGTGGGAGGGGTCATCCAGTGCAGGACTTTCCAGTGTCCCTCGGGGACCTACTGCAAGGACAGTGAGGACGGCGACAGTCGCTGCACCAAAATCAGTAAGGGAGCCACGGGGAAGGTGGGGAGAATGTGCTCACGACTGGAGGGACCAGAGGCAGGGCAAGAGGGACCTTAATCTCTTGGGCATAAGAAGATGGGGATAAGGAGAGGCATTCTGAGGACCCATGCTGGGCTGGTCAGTACTAGTCTATCAGTGATCAGTCTCTCACATTTAACTTAAAGATACATCATCTTTAAATTAAATTAAATGTATTTCTTTTTATGTTTATTTACATATGTCTATGTGTATATATTCCATGTGCATGCAGTTGGGTGCTGTCAGGGGTCAGAAGAGGCTGTTAGGTCTCCTGGAGCTGGAGTTTACAGGTGGTTGTGGGTACTGGGAATGAAACTCAGGTCCTCTGCAAGACCAGCAAGTGCTCTTAACCAGTGAGCCATCCCTCCAGCCCCATATCCACCTTCTTATCTTTTCTTTCTGTCCCTGACACACAGTTCATGATCAGTAAATATTTATTGAATCAATAGCAAAAGGAAAAACAAACAGACAGACAGACAAACTGTTGGTCTTTCAGCCCAGCATGGTTCCTGTAACCTCTGCCTCCTTGGGCTCTTCTGGACCTCTCTATGAATTGTACTCTCCCTCTACCCGTAGCTCTGCAGTGTCCGGCCCACAGCCGCTACACCAACTGCCTTCCCTCCTGTCCACCCACGTGCTTGGACCCAGAGGGACTCTGTGGGGGCACCAGCCCTAAAGTCCCCTCCACCTGCAAGGAGGGATGTGTCTGTCGAGCTGGCTTTGTGCTACATAATGACAAGTGTATGCTCAGAATTCTGTGTAGCTGCAGAGATGCCCAGGGTGTTATCATCCCGGTGAGTGTGTGTGGAAAATGGGCTTGGTGGGGCTAGTGGGAGGGCTAGCTGGGTAGAATATTTGCTCAGAAAGTATGAAGACCTGTGGTTTTTTTTTTTTTTTTTTTTTTTTTGGTTTTTTTTGAGACAGGGTTTCTCTGTGTAGCTTTGCGCCTTTCCTGGAACTCACTTGGTAGCCCAGGCTGGCCTCGAACTCACAGAGATCCGCCTGGCTCTGCCTCCCGAGTGCTGGGATTAAAGGCGTGCGCCACCACCGCCCGGCGAAGACCTGTGTTTTAATCCCCACAACCCAAGTACACTGGGCGTGTAGCCCGTGTCTCTAATCCCAGGACGCGTGTCAGGAAACAGGAGGTGTAGACAGAAGAATCCTTGAAACTTGCAGCTAGTCTTGTATGGGTTAGAAGTGCACACCACCACCAAAGAGGAAGACAGACAGACAGACAGACTGTCTCAATACAAGGTGGAATGTGAGGACCAACACCTGAGATCGTATTCTGCCCTCAGAATATAAGTGCACTCACATACACACACGAATCACATGTAAACACAGAATTTTTTCAAAGTGGGGTTGGGGGCCTTCTCCTTTCTGCTTTCCCCTCCCCGCCCCCGCCTGAAATGATCCCACCTGTTTGGCTGGCCTTGTAGTGAGAAGATTGATCAGGTCCTGGTGCAGACTAGGAAATAGTCTCCACTGAGCCCCACCCCAAGGTCTTCACTGGGAGTTCTAGACATGCCTTCCACTGTTTCTCCATGCCCTCATTCTTCCACTGGTAAATTTTAAGTAGACACTATACTGCTAGGCTATAGGCACAGACCCAGCTGCGATTAAATATATATTTAATCTATTGTGTTGAATCAATGGATGAGGAACCTTCAGATAGAAAAGGCAGTTAAGAATCTTTAGACAGGAAGTGAGGCTGTCTCTTTAGGACTGGTCCATGGTCCTCAGGTGTCTTCTCTTCCCATGGCATCTGCAGGCAGACAAGACCTGGCTCTCCAGAGGCTGTACCCAGAGCTGTACCTGTGTAGCAGGGACAATCCACTGCAGGAATATGCAGTGTCCCTCAGGGACTTACTGCAAGAACATGGCTGATGGCAGCAGTAACTGCACCAAGATCAGTAAGGGAGCCACGAGAGAGCAGGGAGGGTGTGCTCATGGATGGGGAATCTGGGACAGGGCAAGAGGGACCTTGGGCCTTAGAGGTAGGGGACAGGAGCTACCACAGTGCGGAGGGATTCTGGACACAGTGGCTGGCCTGAGTCTCTTCTCAGTGTTAGTGGCTCTGTGGTTAGCCTCCTACATTGACTTGGGAGATCCATCTTTCTTATTTCCTCACGGCTTGGCAATAGCTTAAAAATGTTTGTTGAATGAATAACAAAAGGGGGAAAGGAGCCCAAACTAACCTTTAGTTCAGGCTACCACAGTTTCCCTGACCATGGCTTCCTTGGGCCTCCCCGCCCCAGGGCCTCTCCACTAACCCCACTCTCCCTCCACACTATAGCTCTGCAGTGCCCGGCCCACAGCCAGTTCACGGACTGCCTTCCCTCCTGTCTACCTTCCTGCTCCAACCCGAATGGTCACTGTGAGGACGTCAGCACCAAAGTCCCCTCCAGCTGCAAGGAGGGCTGTCTCTGCGACCACGGCTTTGTGCTCAATGAGGACAAGTGTGTGCCTAGAATTCAGTGTGGCTGCAAAGATACCAAGGGTGACTTCATTCCAGTGAGTGGGCGTGGAAGGTGGGACTGAGGGCTGTTTTCTCCTTTGAGCTGCCTCTCTCAGCCTGGGAGACTCTATACTCAAAGACTGGCCCTGGAAGGAGGAGACTGCTCAGGGCCTGACACCCAGTAGACCAGTGCTCTAAGAGACCCATGCAGTAGCTCCCATTAGAGGATTCCATACAGGCTCTCTACCACTTAATCAACCTCAGCCCTAGACTCTTGTCCTTAGCAAATATTTGGGTTAGTGAAAAGGATCAGAGTGGGTTGTAGCTAGAGTTTTCCTGCCTGGCCCACAGTCAGGACAAATCTCTGTCACCTGCCAGTCCCACAGCCACTCAGACCCAACCAAGTAAACACAGAGACTTATATTGCTTACAAACTGTATGGCCGTGGCAGGCTTCTTGCTAACTGTTCTTACAGCTTAAATTAATCTATTTCCATTAATCTATACCTTGCCACATGGCTCATGGCTTACCAGCATCTTCACATGCTGTTTCTCATCATGGCGGCTGGCAGTGTCTCTCACTCAGCCTTCCACTTCCCAGCTTTATTCTCCTCCATGTCCTGCCTATACTTCCTGCCTAGCCACTGACCAATCAGTGATTTATTTATTGACCAATCAGCAACACATTTGCCATACAGAACATCCCACAGCAGTGGGTGTCTAAGGAAGTGGAAATCTGCCCACTCACCAGCTCTGCAGTGTCCGGCCCACAGCAACACACCTCCTGCCTTCCCTCCTGTCCACCTTCAATGTGGAAACCCTTCAGGCATGGGGCTAAGCCTAGCTCTCTAGAACACCCTTTCAGTCTCCACTTCCTTCTCACTCCCTGGCTTCTGCAGCCAGGCAAGACTTGGACCTCCAGAGGCTGCACCCAGAGCTGTGCCTGCGTGGAAGGTGACGTCCACTGCCAGAATTTTCAGTGTCCCTCAGGGACTTACTGCAAGGACACCAGTGATGACAGCAGTACTTGCACCAAGATCAGTAAGGAGGCCATCCCTGGGGACTGGGGGCGGTAGCCATCATGGCTAGAAAAATCGGAGACGGGACAAGTGGGAGCTTGGTGCTCTGCCCTAAGAGGGTGGGGTTCGGGGACCTACTGCTGGGCTGGGCCCCTTCTCAGTGCTCGTCTCCCGATGGTTAGTCTTCCACACTGACTGAGAAATCGATCTACTTACTTCTTTCCGTGGTTCTCCGCACGCCAGCGTGCTCCATAAATGTTTGCTGAATGACTGACAAAATGGGCAGGAAAGCTCTGCGGCCAGTTCTGTCCCGCTGGATCTTTTTTACAGCGTCTGCTTCATTGGACCCCTCTGTTCTCTCCACTAACCTCTCCCCCTCCACCCCATAGCTCTGCAGTGCCCAGACCACACCCACTACACCAGCTGCCTTCCCTCCTGTCAGCCTTCCTGCTCGGACCCAGAAGGCCTCTGCAAAGGCACCAGCCTTAAAGTCCCCTTCACCTGTAAGGAGGGCTGTGTCTGCCAACCTGACTACGTGCTGCATAATGACAAGTGTGTTCTCAGAAGTCACTGTGACTGCAGAGATGCCCGGGGTGTCCTCATCCCGGTGAGTGGGCGCCTGCCGTCCCATTGGTGAAGGCTGCAGAGATGAATCAGTGGGTAAAATGTTTGTGATGCAAGTTGAGTATGAATTCACCGCCGACCCCTGTAAACTGGGTCTTAATGCCGGGGCTCCCACTACGAGTCCTGAATCCCCAGAAACTTGTAAGCTAGCTATTCTTCTGACAGTAGTGAGCAGCATCAATGAGGAGAGGGAGGGAGAAGAGGAAGGAGAGAAACAGAGACAGCGATGCAGGGACACCCTGTCTGCATACACAGTGGAAGATGAGGATCAGCACCCAAAATTGTCCTCTGATGTGGATGCTTAAGTGAGTCTGCACTCACATACAAAGAAATATGAATACACACACACACACTCACACACACACACACACACACACAGAGTAGGAGAATGGTTTGAAAATCAACCTAGGATCGGGAGGGTCACATTCTCATTGTTTCTTCAAATCTTGCCTGGAATACTCTGTCTGTATGCCTGGAGTATGAAGGTTGATGATGTCCTGGCACAGGCTAGACACCTGCTCTACCACTGAGCCACACCTCCAGCCCTCACGGAAGGGAGCTGGGCAAGTATACCTAGGTCACATGAGCCCCTAGATCCCTGGGGGTTCTGATCAGATGCTCTACAACTGAACTATATTCCCAGGTCCCCATTATAGATTCTGGTAGCACTGAGCCACTCCCACACGCTCAGTGGAGAGTTCTAGGCAGGTCCTGTTGCAGAGCTACACACATAACAGCAGAAGCATTTTCCCCCAACGTTTTTGACACCGGGTAAGTAGTCTCAATAGCTGTGACTAGATTCCTCTATTCAAACCTAAGTCCCTGAAACGGGAAGTGGCGCTGTCTCCCTCTCATCTGTCCCTCTGTCCTCACATTCTGTCTCTTCCTGTGGCTTCTGCAGGCAGGCAAGACATGGACCTCCACAGGCTGTACCCAGAGCTGTACCTGCATGCAAGGGACTGTTCAGTGCCAGAATTTCCAGTGTCCCTCAGAGACTTACTGCAAGGACAATAATGACGGCACCAGTAACTGTGTTAAAATAAGTAAGAGAGCCGTGGGGAAGGTGGCGAGGGTGTGTGTGCTCATGACTGGACGTGTCTGAGGTGGGGCAAGAAGGAGCTTGTGCCTCTGCCCTAAGAGGTCAAGATACTAGGTATTACAGTAGAGAGGGTTGTGGTAACCCATAGCTCTGCTGAGGCCCTTCTCGGTGGTAACCTCTCAGTAGTCTCTGACACTGACTTGGGAGATCCATTCTAACTTTCTTCTCTCAGAACTTGGCACATAGACCATGCCCAGTAAATTTTTGCTGAATAAATAACAACAAAACCAAAAAATCCCAAGGTCTTTTGATCATTATGCCCAGCCTGGTTTCTGCTTCCTCAGACACCCTCTGGGCCTCTCCACTAACCCCACTCTATTTTTATCCCATAGCTCTGCAGTGCCCAACCCACAGCCTGTTCACTGACTGCCTACCCCCTTGTCTACCTACCTGCTTGGACCCAGATGGCCTCTGTAAGGGAACCAGTCCCAAAGTCCCCTCCACTTGCAAGGAGGGCTGCATCTGTCAATCTGGCTATGTGCTGCAGAATGACAAGTGTATACTCAGAACTCTGTGTGGCTGCAAAGATGCCCAGGGTGCTCTTATCCCAGTGAGTGGGCATGGATGGTAGGATTGGTGGGGTCTGTGGAGATAGCAACATTATAAAGTATCCATCCTGCAAGTGTTTGGACTAGGTTTGAATCCCCACAACCCATATGAGATGGACACAGTAGCCTATGTCTATAACCCCAGTGCTTCTACTGGGAGATGGGAAAGGGAGATAGCAGAGTCCTCAGAAACTTGAGAGCTAGCTTTGTCTCGTGTGTGCAGTGATGACCAAAACAAGGAGGACAGATAAAAAGACAGGCAGACACAGGGAGAGACGGAATTTCAGTACCAGCTACAGCATGAGCCCAACATTTGAAATTATCCTCTCATCTTTATGTCTAAGTGTGCGCGTGCACACATACACACGCACACACACATACATGCACACACACGAGAGAGAGAGAGAGAGAGAGAGAGAGAGAGAGAGAGAGAGAGAGAGAGAGAGAGAGATGTGATGACTCATGCCTTTAATCCCAGTACTTGGAGAGCAGAGTCAGATATATCTCTAAAATTTCAAGACCAACCTGAGCTACATGACAAGTTCTAGACCAGCCAGGACTACGTAGTGAGAACCTGTCTCAAAAACAGACAAACAAATGAGTGACAATAAAGCCCATATAGGATTGGGAGCCACGAGCTCATTTCTTCTGCTTCTCTGCACCTGGGATGCTCCGGTCAGTATGGCTGGTGCTGGAATGTGAAGGTTGTTCAGGTCCAGGCACAGGGTAGGCAAATGCTCTACCACTGAACAACTCCCCAGCCCTTCACTGGGGGATTCCAGGCAAGTATTCTACTTCAAAGCCACACAACCGCCCATCACTGAGGATTCTAGTCAGGTGCTCTGCAACTGAGCCATGCTCTCCAGGCCCCTACTATAGGATTCAGGGCCAGTGTCTACCCCTGACCCACTCCCCCAGTGCCCTGACCTAGGATTCCAGGCAGAAAGCCCATGCCCCGCACCTCCTCACGGGGAGAGTCTAGGAGGTTCTGTTCTGATGCGTACAGCAGCAGAAGGAAGTATTTTTCAGGCATATTCTACCTGTTGTTGGTTGACTCAGTAGATGTGCAGTAGCAATGGCGAGGGCAAACCTAGGTCCCCTCAGACAGGTGAGGCCCTCTCTAGCCAGCCTCTCCTTCCTCACTTCCTGTCTCTTTCCATGCCTTCTGCAGGAAGGCAAGACCTGGGTCTCCAAAGGCTGTACCCAGAGCTGTGCCTGCACAGGAGGGAGCATCCACTGCCTGGATTTCCAGTGTCCCCCAGGGACTCACTGCAAGAATGACAATGATGGCAGCAGTCACTGTGATGAAATCCGTAAGGGCCTGGGGGAAGACGGAGAAGCTGGTGGCTGGAGGGACTAGAGGCAGGACGAGAAGACGCTTAGGTCCTTGGGTTGAGGGGTTTGGGGATAGAAGGTACCACAGTAGAGAGAGTTTGTGGAGCCAAGCTTGGCTGAGTCCCTTCTCAGTGTCAGTCTCAATGTTTAGTCTCCTCCGTTGACTTGGGGGATCCATTTTTCTTACTTTCTCTCTCGTGGATTGACAAACAGGGCATGCTCAGTGAATGCTTGTTGAATGGATAGTAAGTGTGGTGAGGTGGAGAAGGATCTCCTGGGCATTCCGTCAAGTCTGATCTCTGTACAGAAGCCTCTGCTTCCTTGGGCCTCCTCTGGTCCTCTCCATTAACTCCACTCTCCCTCCACTCCACAGCTCTACAGTGTCCAGCCAACAGCAGCTTCACCGACTGCCTTCCCTCCTGCCCACCCTCTTGCTTGGACCCAGAGGGCCACTGTGGAGGCACCGGCCTCAAAGACCCCTCCACTTGCAAGGAAGGCTGCCTCTGCCACTCTGGCTTTGTGCTTGATAACGACAAGTGTATCCCCAGAATTCACTGTGGCTGCAAAGGTGCCCAGGGTGCTCTCATCCCGGTGAGTGGAAGTGGAGAATGGGAATATCATCATCATCATCATCATCATCATCATCATCGTCTTCGTCTTCTTCCTCCTCCTCCTTTCTTCTTCTTTCGTCTGCCCCTCTCTGTCTGGGATGCTCATGTCTATATGGCTGGCCTGGGAGGGTAAAGAAACATCTGTCCTGGCATAGGCTAGGCAAATGCTCTCCCCGGAGAACCATTCCCAGCCCCTTGTCGTGGGGTTCTAGGCAGGGGCTCTACCACTGAGCCACACCCCAGCCCCTCACTGGGGGATCCTAGGCAGGTGCTCTACCACTGAGCCACACCCCAGCCTCTCACTGGGGGATTCTAGGCAGGTGCTCTACCACTGAGCCACACCCCAGCCCCTCACTGGGGGATTCTAGGCAGGTGCTCTACCACTGAGCCACACCCCAGCCCCTCACTGGGGGATTCTAGGCAGATGCTCTACCACTGAGCCACACCCCAGCCCCTCACTGGGGGATTCCAGGCAGATGCACTCTGTTGAAAGAGACGCCAGCCCCTCACTGTCAGATTTTAGTCAGGTCTCAACTGCTCAACCCCATCACAGGGGCGGTACTTCTTCAGCTGGTTTCCATGTGCGGGTGGTTGACTCAGTAGATACGACCTATAGAGTGGGAGGGAAAATGAGAAGCCCTGCAGGTAGGAGTAAGGCTGACTTCCTTTAACTAGCCCCTCTGTCCCCACTCCATTTCTCTTCCTGTGGCTTCTGCAGGCAGGCAAGACATGGACTGCTAGAGGCTGTACCCAGAGCTGTACCTGCATGGGAGGGGCTGTTCAGTGCCGACATTTCCAGTGTCCCTCAGAGACTTACTGCAAGGACAGTAATGACGGCACCAGTAACTGTGTTAAAATAAGTAAGAGAGCCGTGGGGAAGGTGGCGAGGGTGTGTGTGCTCATGACTGGACGAGTCTGAGGCGGGGCAAGAAGGAGCTTAGTCCCCACTTAAGAGGTCATCAATAGGAGGGTCCAAGTAGGAATTCTGGCATTCAGTAGCAGGGATTCTGGGGACACAGGTTGTGGCTGAGTCTCTTCTCAGGTTAGTCTCCCACACTGAGTTAGAAGAAACCGTTCTTTCCATCTGTCCTCTGTGTTGAACACACAGCCCATCCTCAGTGAATATTTGCTAAACAAACACTAAGAAGAAGGAAGAACGCCCCAAACTCTGTTGTTCTTCTGCCTAGTTTGGTATTTACAGCCTCTCCTTCCGTTTGCGCTCTCCACTAACCCCACTATACTTCCACCCCATAGCTCTGCAGTGCCCGGCCCACAGCCACTACACCGACTGCCTTCCCTCCTGTCAGCCTTCCTGCTCGGACCCAGATGCCCACTGTGAGGGCACCAGCCCTAAAGTCCCTTCTACCTGCAAGGAGGGCTGTGTCTGTCAACCGGGCTATGTGCTGAGTAATGACAAGTGTGTGCTCAAAACTGAGTGTGACTGCAAAGACACCCAGGGTCCTCTCATTCCAGTGAGTGAACTGGGAAATCAGAATGGTGGAGGGGGAGATAGCTGGGAGACTCAACTGATGTAAAATCTGTAGACAGTGAGGGCAAATGAAGTACCCCAGACAGGAAGTGAGGTCATCTCCTGAGAACTAGGGGCCAGAAGCCGTGGTTAAGAGCACATGCCACTCTATCAAGAAGATTGGAATTTGGATCCTAGCTACTCACAAACGCCTGTAATTCCAGCTTCAAGGGATTGATGTGTCTTCTGGCCATCATGAACAATCATATGCGTGTACTCACATGGACACACACACACACACACACACACACACACACACACACCTAAAAAAGAAGCCATCCTCGGACTTTACTTCCATTTCCTGTGGCTTCTGCAGGCAGGCAAGACCTGGATCACCAGAGGCTGTACCCAGAGCTGTGCCTGCATGGGAGGCACCATCCACTGCCAGAATTTCCAGTGTCCCCAAGGGACTTACTGCAAGGACAACAATGATGGCAGCAGTCACTGTGCAAAAATAAGTAAGGCGCCTTGGGGAGTGTGGAGAGGGTGGGCTCCTGACTGGAGGAAGCAGAGGCAGGGCAACAAAGGAGCTGCTTCTTCCCCTGAGCCCAGAGGCCAGATGTAAAAACTTACAACAGTGGGGGTGGGTTCTGGGGACTGCAGCAGACCCCTCTCAGTGGGTGATCTCCCACTAACCTGGGTGTGCTGCTTCTTACGTTCTGCTCTCAGGACTTGCCAAAAGGGCCATGCTCAGGAAATGTTTTTAGAATGAATAATGAAGGCATGGAGCGGGGAGCCCCAGATCATCTTAGTCATTGTGCCTAGCCCGGTTTCTATAGCCTGTTCTTCTTGGGCCCCTCTGTCTCCTCTAACCCTACTCTCCTTCCACCCCATAGCTCTGCAGTGCCCAGACCACAGCCACTTCACTGACTGCCTTCCCTCCTGTCCACCTTCCTGTACTGATCTGGATGCCCACTGTGAGCACACCAGTCCCAAAGTCCCCTCCACCTGCAAGGAGGGCTGCCTCTGTCAACCTGGCTACTTCCTGAACAATGACAAGTGTGTGCTCCGAATTCACTGTGACTGCAAAGATGTCCATGGTAGCCTCATTCCGGTGAGTGGGTGTGGGAGGTGGGATTGGGGCAGCTGGGAAGAGGGCTCAGTGAATCAGGTCCAAGTGTGGGGACCTGAGCTTAAATCCCATATAAGCATGTTAAGATGGGAGCAGAATCCCCAGAAACTTGCAAGCTAGCTAGCCAGGTATTTACTGTGAAGACCGATGGCAACAATAAAACCCGAGAGTTGAGATAGCCTGTCTCAATCTAAAGTAGAGAAAGTGAGACCCAACACCTGAGCCTGTTCTCTGACTGCCTCTCCTGTACACACACACACACACACACACACACACACACACACACACACACACACACACACACACATACTAAAAGATTAATTTTTTAAAAGTAGAGGGCCAGAGACATGGCTTGATAAAGACACTTGCCTTCAAGCCTGAGCACCCGAGTTCAATCACCAGGACCTACATGGTGAAAGGCAAGAACTGACTCACACAAGTTGTCCTCTGACCTCCACATGTGTGCTTGTCTCTGGCTGGCTCTTGAGTTTGAAAGTTGGTTAGGGCCTGGCACTTGCTGGGCAAATGCTCTACCACTGAGCCATGCACTTGACCTCTCAGTGAATACTGTATACAAGTGAGCTGTGTACCTGAGCCGTGCTCAGAGGCCCCTTTTGAGTAGTCTAGGCCTGCACTCTGCCACGGAGCCTCTCGTGCTGCTTTTCACAGGGGATCCTAGGCAGGTGCTCTACCACTGAGCCACACCCCAGCCCCTCACTGGGGGATTCCAGGCAGGTGCTCTACCACTGAGCCACACTCCAGCCCCTCACTGGGGGATTCTAGGCAGGGGCTCTACCACTGAGCCACACCCCAGCCCCTCACTGGGGGATCCTAGGCAGGTGCTCTACCACTGAACCACACCCCAGCCCCTCACTGGGGGATCCTAGACAGGTGCTCTACCACTGAGCCACACCCCAGCCCCTCACTGGGGGATTCTATGTGGGTACTCTACCACTGAGCCACACCCCAGCCCCTCACTGGGGGATTCTTTGTGGGTACTCTACCACTGAGCTAACCCACTTGTCCTAGCTATAATTCTTGTTTCGATATTTTCTACCTCTGGTTGGTTGATTCAATAGATGTTAGACCTGTAGACAGGCAGATGCATGTACTTCAGACAGAAGTCGGTCTGTCTCCCCAGGACAAGCTCTTCCACCCTCCCTTCCTCTTCCTATAACCTCTGCAGGCAGGCAAGACCTGGACCTCCAAGGGCTGCACCCAGGACTGTGCCTGCACAGGAGGAGCTGTCCAGTGCAGGACTTTCCAGTGTCCCTCAGGGACCTTCTGCAAGGACAGCAGTGATGGCAGCAGTCACTGTGTCAAAATCAGTAAGGGGGCCACGGGGGAGGTGGGGAGGGTGTGCTCATGGCTGGAGGGACCAGAGGCAGGGCAAGATGGAGCTTAGTCCCCTGGCCTTGGAGGTTGGGATAGGAGGTGCCACAGTGAGGAGAGATTCTGGACCAATGCTGGGCTGGGCCAGCTATAGCACAAGCCTCCCATGGGTTAGCCTCCCATGCTGACTTGGGAGAGCCATTGTTTTTAGTCTCCCATGCTGAACTGGGAAAAAAATTACTCTTAACCTTCTTTCCCCAGACTTGGCACACAGCCCAATGCTCAGTAAAAGTTTACTGAATGAATAACAACAACAACAACAAAAAAAAAAAATTAGAGCCGGACAGTGGTGGCACATGCCTTTAATCCCAGCACATGGGAGGCAGAGCCAGGTGGATCTGTGAGTTCGAGGCCAGCCTGGGCTACAGAGCGAGATCCAGGACAGGCACTAAAACTATACAGAGAAACCCTGTCTTGGAAAAAAAAAAATTAGGCCCAAAGAGCTGTTGCTTATTTTGCCAAGCCTGGTTCCTATAACCTGTGCTCACTTGGGTCCCCTCCCCGACTCCACTCTCTCTGCCCCCCAGCTCTGCAGTGCCCGGCCCACAGCCAGTTCACCAGCTGCCTTCCCTCCTGTCCACCTTCCTGTTCCATTCTGGATGGCCACTGTGAGGAAAACAGCTCCAAAGTCCCCGCAACCTGTAAGGAGGGCTGCCTCTGTCAGCCTGGCTACTTGTTGAATAATGACAAGTGTGTGCTCCGAATCCAGTGCAGCTGCAAAGATGTCCACGGTGGCCTCATTTCCGTGAGTGGGTGTGGAACAAGGAGGGACTGGTGGGTGGCTGAGGAGATGGCTCACTGGGTAAAATGTTTGCCTTGCAAGTGTGAGGGCCTGAGTTTGAATCTCCGGAACCTATGTAAGCTGGGTATGGTAGCTTCTAGCTTCTACTAGGAGAAGGGAGAATCCCTAGAAACTTGTAGGCTAGCTACTCTTGTGATTGCACAGAGACAGATAGCCTCGCAATACAAGGTAGAAGGTGAGGACCACCATCCCAGGCTGTATTCTGACCTTCACACAGACATGCACAAATCACCCACACACATGAACATACATGAAAACGCACAAAGATTTAAAATAAAAGTGGAATGAACTTTTTCCCTCTGCTTTTGTTGACCTGGGATGTGCCTGTATTTTTGTTTGTTTTGTTTTTGTTTTTTTAATTTGAGATAGGGTCTCTCTATATAGCCCTGACTGTCCTGGAACTTACATAGACAGACTGGACAGGTCTCGACCTCACAGAGATCTGCTTGACTCTGTCTCCTGAGTGCTAGGAGTGAAAGTGTTCACCACCACACGGATGCACCTGTCTTTAAAGCTGACCCTTGAGTGTGAAGGATGGTCATGGCCTGGCACAGGATAGACAAGTACTCTATCACTGAGAATTCTAGGCAGGCTGTCCATAACTGAGTCATACCTCCAACTCCTAACTGCAGGATTCCAGGCAGGTGTTATGTCTCTAAGATGTGCACACATCCCCTAATGCAATCATTTTTTCAAATATTTTTCACCGTCGTGTGTTGACTCAATAGATGTGGAACCTGCAGACAGTGAGGGCAAACCTGCATACCCTGGAGCGGTGAGGCTGTCTCCTTAGAGCTGAGCCCTTCCTCTCTTTCTTCCTCTTCCCGTGGCTCTTGCAGGCAGGCAAGACCTGGATCACCAGAGGCTGCACGGAGAGCTGTAACTGCATGGGAGGGACCATCCAGTGCAGGACTTTCCAGTGTTCCCCAGGGACCTACTGCAAGGACAGCAGTGATGGCAGCAGTCACTGTGTCAAAATCAGTAAGGGGGCCATGGGGGAGGTGGGGAGGGTGTGCTCATGGCTGGAGGGAGGAGAGGCAGGGCAAAATGGAGCTTGGTCCCCTGGGCCTAAGAGGTTGGAACTGGGTACCACAATGGGGCGGAGTCTGTGGACCTTGGGCTCTGCTGAGACCTTTCTCAGAGCTGGTCTCCCAATGGTTAGCCTTCCCCATCTGGTTGGGAGACTCATTCTTCTTGCTTTTCAAAGGGTTTGACACACACCCCATGTTCAGGAAATATTTTCAAAATTAATAACAGTAGGGAAAAATCCTGAAGCTCTGTGGGTCATTTCTCTGCTTCCCTGGACCCCATCCAGTAACCCCAGTCTCCCTCTACTCCATAGCTCTGCAGTGTCCTGCCCACAGCCGCTACACAAACTGCCTTCCCCCATGTCCACCTTCCTGTACCGATCTGGATGGCCGCTGTGAGGGCACCAGCCCCCAAGGCCCCTCCACCTGCAAGGAGGGCTGCCTCTGCCAACCTGGCTACGTGGTAAATGATGGCAAGTGTGTGCTCCAGATTCACTGTGGCTGCAAAGATGCCCAGGGAGCTCTTGTTCCGGTGAGTGGGTGTGGCAATGGGATTGGGAATGCTAGCTCAGTGGGTCAGTTGCTTTCTTGTGCAAGTGTGAGGACCTGAGTTTGAATCTCCACAACTCACTATAGATGGGCACAGTTACCTGTGTCTGCAATTCCATTACTCTACCGAAAAATGGTGGGCAGAGACAGGAGCATCCCCAGAAACCAACAGCTGAAATTGTCCTCTGACCTGTGATCATGTGGACCAGCACTCACACACATGAATACACACACACACACAGTACAATCTTTAAAAAGATTTATTTTTATTTGATTGTGCAAGTGACTGCATGTATTCATATAGATCACTTGGGAACCTGGTGCCCACAGAGGTCAAAAGAAGGCATTGGATCCCCCCGGAATTAGAGTTACAGGAGTTGTAAGGTGCCATGTGGGTTCTGGGAATTGAATCCTGGTCCTCTACAAGGCAGCAAGTGCTCTTAACAGCTAAGCCATCTCTGGAGCCGTATAAAACATTTTTTTTAAGTTGGATTGTGGGCTGTTTTCCTTCAATCTATTTCCTTCTGGAATGCTCCTGTCTGTATGTCTGGTCCTTGAGTTTGAAGGTTTGTCAGGTTCTGGCACAGGCTAGGCAAGTGCTCTACCATTAACCCACACCTCCATTCCATTAGTGGAAGATTCTACCACTGAGCCACACCCACAAACCCCTCACTAGAGATTCTAGGCAGGTGCTCTACCACTGAGCCACACCCCAGCCCCTCACTGGGGGATTCTAGACAGGTGCTCTACCACTGAGCCACACCCCCAGCCCCTCACTGAGGGATTCTAGGCAGGAGCTCTACTACTGAGTCACACCCCAGCCCCTCACTGGGGGATTCTAGGCAGGTGCTCTACCACTGAGCCACACCTCAGCCCCTCACTGGGGGATTCTAGGCAGGGGCTCCACCACTGAGCCACACCCCCAGCCCCTCACTGGGGGATTCTAGGCAGGTGAGTTGTATGACTGAGCTATTCTTAGAGGTCCTGACTAAGGATTTAGGACCATGATCTACCAATGAGCTGATAATCCCCCTTCCCCACATACAATTCTCTTTTCAAATCCATTCCACCTATGGTTGCTTGATTCAATAGATGAAGAACTTATAGAGAGATAGAGAGGGCAAACTGAAGCTGTTCAGATAGGAGATGAGGCTGTATCCCTGGAACAGCCTCCCTAGCCTCACTCCCTTTCCCTTCCCTGGCTTCTCCAGGCAGGCGAGACCTGGGTCTCCAGTGGCTGCACCCAGAGCTGTACCTGCGTGGGAGGGGCTATCCAATGTCGAAGCTTCAACTGCCCCCCAGGGACTCAGTGTCAGGATGGCCGGGATGGCCACGTTAACTGCACCAAAATACGTAAGAGGGGAATAGGGGAAAGCAGGGAGGGTGTGTTCATGGCTGCCGGGATCAGAGGCAGGGCAAGGAGCATAGTCTCCTGGCTTTGGAGGTTGAACATAAGAAATACCACAATACAGAGGAATTTAGGAGGCCCGCTGTGGACTGCATCTCTTTTCAGTACTAGTCTCTCAGTTGTTAAGTTCCCACACTAACTTGGGAGATACATGCGTTTGTTCCTCCTTAGGACTGGCACCCAGCCCAGGCTCAGTAAATGGTTGCTGAATGAATAGCAAAAGGAAAAATAAAAGCAAAAAAAGTGGAAAATACAAGTTGTGTTGGTCATTCATCCTAGCTTGGTTTCTGCAGCCTCTGGGTCTTTGGGCCCCTCTATCCCTCTGTTAACATTACTCTCTCTTCATCATAGCTCTGCAGTGCCCCGCCCACAGCCGCTACACCAACTGCCTACCTTCTTGTATACCTTCCTGCTCGGACCCAGAAGGCCTCTGTGGGGGCACCAGTCCAAGAGTCCCCTCCACCTGTAAGGAGGGTTGTATCTGTCGAGCTGGCTTTGTGCTACATAATGACAAGTGTGTGCTCAGAATTCTGTGTGGTTGCAAAGACGCCCAGGGTGCTCTTATCCCGGTGAGTACATGCCAGATGTAAGACTGGTGGGCCTGGGCAGATGGCTTAGTGAGTAAGGCCCTGGGTCAGCACAAGTAGGCGACATGATTGGAATCTCCACGTTCCAGTGAACTGTTTGCAGGAGGCCTTTCTTGTCATCCCAGGGTTTCTATGTGAGATAGGAGGCAGAGATAGGAGAAGCCACAAAATTTAGGCGCTTGGTAGTCTGTGCTGTCTGGATATCTGCATATGGGGTGAAAGGTAAGCACCAACGCCCAAGATTTGGTCTCTGACTTCCACACATATGTGTGCCATGATTAAATACAGAACACACACACTCAAGATTAGCTTTAAAAAAAAAAGTAGGGGCTGGAGAGTGGCTCAGTGGTTAAGAGCACTGGCTGCTCTTCCAGAGGTTCCATTCTCAGCACCCACATGGCAGCTCACAACTGTCTGTAACTCCAGTTCCAGGGGACCCAACACCGTCGCAAAACACCAATGCACATAAAAAAAAGTAATTTTTAAAAAGGTGGTGTGCCTGGAACATGGCTCCATAGGTAAAGGCACTTGCCTAAGGGCCAAGCCAATGTCTGGAATCCATGTGGGAGAAGGAGAGAGCTGACTCCAGCAATCTGTCTTCTGACCGCCACACATGTGCCATGGCATGTGCACATGTGTGGACACACAAAGATGAATGTCATTAAAGATTGTCTTCAAAGTGGGATTGACAGCCATTTCTCCGTCCTTTGCTTTTGTCCATCTGGGGTTCTTCTGTCTGTATGGCTAGCCCTGCAGCATGAAGCTCGGTCGGGCCTAGCACATGCTTTCCAAGTGCTCTGTCTTTTAGCCAGATGTCACCCTTACATGTTCATCACTTGGGGATTCAAGACAAGTACTAGGCAGCCTTGCTCTATAACTGATCTATGCTCCTAGACCCCTACAGAAAAATTTTCAGCCACAGTTCTAACCCTGAGCCACACCCCAGCCCCTCACTGGGGGATTCTAGGTAGGCACTCTACCATTGAGCCACATACCTATCCCTCACCTGGAGATTCTAGAGAGAGACACTCCCACTGAGATATACCAAAACTCCCATTTGTAATAGTTTTTCCAGTGTTGACCACCTGTGATTGGTTGGTGCTATAGAGTGAAACCTGTGAACAGGGAAGACAAATGTGAGTCCTTCAGACATGGCATAAAACTGTCTTCCTAGAACTGCCATCTCTGTCTCCTTCTCTTCTCTCTCCATGATCTCCGCAGGCAGAGAAGACCTGGCTCTCCAAAGGCTGTACCCAGAACTGTACCTGTGTGGCAGGAAACATTCATTGCCGGAATATCCAGTGTCCCTTGGGGACTCACTGCAAGGACGATAGTGATGGCAGTAGTCACTGTGTCAAAGTTGGTAAGGAAGCCATGGGAAAATGGAGAGACTGCGTCCGTGGCCGGATAGATGAGAGACAGAACGAGGAGGAGCTTAGTCTCCTGGGCCCGAGAGGTCAGGATACTAGGTACCACGTGGGGAGAGTTCTGGGGACCCATAGCAGGGTCTCTTCCCCGCGCTTGGCTCTCAGTGGTTTGCCTCCCACACTGACTTGGGAGACTCACTCTCCTTACTTTCTTCTCTCAGGACTTGGCACAGTTCAGGCTCACTAAGGGATGGCTGTGTGGATAGACAGAGGGAAAAGTCACAAGCTCTTCTTGTCATTCAGCCCAGCCTAATTTCTTTAGCCCCTACTTCCTTTGGCTCTCTCAAGCCCTATGTACTAATGCCATATCCTTCTAACCCCGTAGCTCTGAAATGCCCAACCCACAGCTACTACACCAACTGCCTTCCTTCCTGTATCCCATCCTGCTCCAACCTGAATGAGCACTGTGAGGTCCCCAGTGTCTCAGGCCCCTCCACCTGCAAAGAAGGCTGCCTCTGTCAGTCTGGCTTTGTGCTCAATAAGGACAAGTGTGTACTCAGAATTCAGTGTGGCTGCAAAGACTCTCAGGGTGCCCCCATTCCGGTGAGTGGGCATAGAATTTGGAATTGGGGCCCCTTCCTTCTTCCCTCTGTTCAGTGAGCCTGGGATGTACATGACTCTATCATTGACCCTGGAGTTTTCCAGGGCCTGGAACAGGCTAGGAACATGCTCTATCACTGAGCCACACCCCAGCCCCTCACTGGGGGATTCTAGGCAGGTGCTCTATCACTGAGCCACACCCCCAGCCCCTCACTGGGGGTTCTAGACAGGTGCTCTACCACTGAGCCACACCCCAGCCCCTCACTGGGGGTTCTAGACAGATAATCTAAGGCAGAGACCTGCTCCCACCTCCCTCCTTGTGGAGTCTACACAGGCCCTCTACTGCCTAATAGCTCCAGATACAGTTTTCCTGTGTTTCCCACCTGTACTTAGTTGACTTAATAGATGTGGAGCCTTCAGTAAAGATGGCCAAGTAAGCCCTTCAGACAGCAGGCTGAGCCTGTCTCTTACACTTGGACCCTTTGTCCTTACTGCCTGTGTCCTCCTTGTGGTTTCTGTAGGCAGGCAAGACCTGGATTGCCACAGGCTGTTCCCAGAAATGTACCTGCGAGGGAGGACTTGTTCAGTGCCATGAGTTCGAGTGCCCCTCAGGGACTCAGTGCCAGGACATCGAGGATGGCAGCAGTGACTGTGCCGAAATCAGTAAGAGAGCGATGAGGGAGGTGGAGGACTCAGAGGCAGGCAAGAGGACGCTTAGTCCCCAGGCCTGGGAGTTGAGGGATTGGAGGTAGTCACATGGTGGGAAGGGATTCTGGTGACCTGGACTAGGTTAGTCATCTTCCTAGATGACTCTACAATGTGTCAAGGTGACAGTTAAAACCGACCATCAGAATTAGTGTCCCATGTTACCTTGGGAGAGCTACCTTTTCTTACACACAACCCATGTCAGTAAATGTTTGCCGAGCGGTCCTTCCCAGTGCTAGTCTCTTAACAGTTAGTTTCCCACACTGAGGTGAGAAAAACCATTCTTTCTTTCTTTCTTTCTTTCCTGGGGGCTTGGCACAGTCTGTGCTCGTAAAGGTTTGCTGAATGAGTAACGAAAGGAGAAAACCCCTGAGTTCTGTTGGTCATTCTGCCCTGCCTCATTTCTCTTGTTCCTAATTCCTGGCCCCCTCCCTCCGCTGTCCTCTCCACTAACCTTATTCTCTCTCCACTCCATAGCTCTGCAGTGCCCAGCGCACAGTCGCTACATCAACTGCCTTCCCTCCTGTCTGCCTTCCTGCCTGGACCCTGAGGGCTTCTGCAAGGGTGCCAGCCCCAAAGCCTTCACCTGCAAGGAGGGCTGCATCTGCCAGTCTGGCTATGTGCTGAGTAATGACAAGTGTATTCCCAAAATTCAGTGTGACTGCAAAGATGTCCACGGTGACCTCATCTTGGTGAGTGGGAATCTAAAGTGGGATTTGTGGGGGAGTTTGAAAATGACTGAGTTAACGGTTTGCTCTGAAAATGTGAGGATCTGAGTTCTTTTTGTTGTTGTTTGGTTTTGCGAGACAGGGTTTCTCTGTGTAGCCCTGGCTGTCCTGGAACTCACTCTGTAGCCCAGGCTGGCCTCGAACTCACAGAGATCTGCCTGCCTCTGCCTCCCGAGTGCTGGGATTAAAAATGTGTGCCACCATGACCAGCTGAGGGTCTGAGTTCTAATCTTCACTATCCATGTAAACTGAATGGAACAGCCTGTGTCTATAATCCTAGGGCTGCTATTGGGTGACGGGAGGGCCACAGCAGAATCCTTTCAAATTTGGGGGCCAGATAGTCCTCTGTATCTAGAGGTAAACAACAACAGCTGTGCAGGGGTCATGTCTCATCACAAAGTCTAAGGTCATAACCAACACCTGCGGTTGTCTTCCCACATCCGTGTGTGTACACCTGTACTCTCTTATGCACACATTCACACAAACACTAAAAGGTTACCTACCCTCTCCAGAAAAAAAGAGAGAGAGAGAGAGATTGTGGATAGCCTTTTCCTTTTGTCTGTTTCCCTCTAACTTGGATGCATCTGTCTGTATGGCTGGCCCTGGATTGTGAAGATCAGTCAAGGCCTGGAACATGCTAGTCAAATGTTTTCCTCTGAGCATCTAGGCTGGCCCTTCATTGAGGGATTCTAGGCAGGTGCTCTACCGCTGCGCCACTCCCCAGCCCCTCACTGGGGGACTCTAAGCAGGGGCTCTACCACTGAGCCACACCCCAGCCCCTCACTGGGGGATTCTAGGCAGGTGCTCTACCACTGAGCCATACCCCAGCCCCTCACTGGGGGATTCCAGGCAATTGTGCTGCCTCTGATCCAGGCTCCTTCATCCGTAACTCAGGATTGTAGGCAGACTTTCTATGTAGAATCCCATCCCAAGCCCCTCACTGGGGATTGTAGCCAAATATCTAAGGCAGAGCCCCACCTCTCCACTCTTCCTAGTAGATTCTACACAGGCCATGTACCCCTGAACTCTCCCCCTAAGTCCAGATGCAGTTGTTCTCACTGTAGTTGGCTGACTCAGTAGATGTGGAACCTGGAGACTGAGCTTGGCTCCTTAGAGTCATTCTCTCCTCACTCCCTTCTCTTCTCTGGCTTCTGCAGGCAGGCAAGACGTGGATCTCCAGTGGCTGCACCCAGAGCTGTACCTGCGTCAATGGGGCCGTCGAGTGCCACACCTTCACCTGCCCCTCGGACACCCACTGCCAGCACAGTGATGATGGCAGCAGTAACTGTGCCTCCAACAGTAAGGGGGCCACTGGGGAAGGTGGTGAGGGAGTGCTCCTGACTGGAGGAACCGGAGGCAGGGCGAGAGGAACCTAGTCTCCTGGGCCTTAGAGATCAGAGGTAGGAGGTACCACAAGGGGAGGGTTCTGGGGACCCACAGCAGGGTCTCTGCTCCGTGTTGGTTTCCCACATTGACTTGGGAGGCCCACTCTTCTTCTCTCAGGAATTAGCACACAGTCCATGCTCAGTACCAGTTTGCTGAACAAATAATAAAAGGAGGGAAAAATCCACAAACAAGCTCTGTTGGTCTGGTTCCTGAAGCCTCTGCTTCCATCAGCACCTCAGGCCTTCTCCACTAACACCACTCCACCTCCATTCTACAGCCCCTCCATGCCCGGCCCACAGCCACTTCACCGACTGCCTGCCCTCCTGTCTGCCTTCCTGCTTGGATCCTGATGGGCACTGTGAGGGCACCAGCCCCAAAGTCCCTGCCGTCTGCAAGTCAGGCTGCCTCTGTCAACCTGGCTATGTGCTGAATAACGACAAGTGTATCCCCAGAATTGCGTGTGGCTGCAAAGATCCCCAGGGCACTCTCATTCCAGTGAGTGGGCATGGAAAATGGGATTAGTGAGGGCTAAGGAGATGGTTCAGTGGGTGAAGACTTCAGTTCAAGTCCCTTAATCCAGTTAAACTGGGCACAGTAGTCTGTCTGTAATCCCAGAGCTCCTGCTGAAATATGGGAGAGGCAAACAGGACAATCCTCAGACTAGACGTTCTGGTATTCATAGTGGTGAACATCATCAAAGCCAAGGTGGGGAGAAAGAGTCCGTCTCAGTGCAAGGTGGAAGGCAAGGACCAACACCTGAGGATGCACTCTAACCTTCAGGAGTATGTGCTCACCCTCACACATACTTCAACACAAACGTGCGTGCGTGCGCGCGTACCTTTTTTAAAAAGTGGAGTCGGGAGCCGTTTCCTCCTTTTCCCTGTCTTCTGTGTGATGCTCCTGTATAGATGGCTTGCCCTGGAGTTGAAGGTTGGTCAGCTCTTGGCACGTGCTAGACCCGTGCTCTACAGCTGAGCCACACCCCTATTCCCTTGCTTGGGGATTCTGGACAATTGCTCTGTCACTAGGCCATATCCTCTGCTGCTCATTGGGGATTGTAGTCAAGCTAGGATAGATCCACAGCCAGAGCTGCAATTCTTTTCAAGGTATTTTCCACCCACAGTAGATTGGCTCAATAGATGTGGAGCCTGCATACAGGGAGAGCAAATGGAAGTCCCTCAGACAGCCAGTAAGCCCGTCGCTGTCATCCTCACTCCCATCCTCTTCTTGTGGCTTCTACAGGAAAGCAAGACGTGGATCTCCAGTGGGTGTACCCAGAGCTGTAACTGCAGGGGAGGGACTGTTCAGTGTCAGGACTTCAAATGCCCAGCAGGGACCCATTGCCAGCACAGTGTAGACGGCAGCAGTCACTGTGCCAGCGACGGTAAGGAAGCCTTGGAGGAAGGATGGGGGTATGTGCTCATGGATGGAAGAATCAGAGGAAGGGCAAGAAGGAAATTAGTTCTGGGGGTGGGGAGGGGTGTGACGGCAGGGAGGACACACAGTCCACACCCAGTCAGTATCTGCTGGATGAATAACAAAGGGCAGAGGAAGGCCTGGAGTTTCTTAGTTGTGCTGCCCACCCTGTTGAATGTGGCCTCTGCTTCCTTGGGCCCCTCTGGTTCTCTGCATTAATGCCACTCTTTTTCCACCACAAAGCTCTGAAATGCCCGGCCCACAGCCTCTACACCGCCTGCCTTCCGTCCTGTCTACCTTCCTGCTCGGACCCAGAGGGCCTCTGCGATGGCTCCAGCACCAAGGTCCCCTCCTCCTGCAGGGAGGGCTGTGTCTGCCGATCTGGCTATGTGCTGCATGAAGACAAGTGTGTGCTTAGAATTCACTGTGCCTGCAAAGTCTCCCATGGTAGCCTCATCCAGGTGAGCAGGCGTGGAGATTGCAATGAGGGACTGGGAGTTAGCTCAGAGAGCTGCTCCATGAATGTGAGAACCTTGCTTGAATTCCTACCACCCATGGAAGCTGAGCATGGAAGCTGACTGTGACCCCAGTTTTCTACTATGATATAGGAAGGAGGTGAAGCCAGGGAAATCCCAAGAAATGTGGGTGCTGACTATGGTAGTGTACACAAGCAGTGACTAACAGCACTAAGACAGGCAGAGATGGAATGAATCTTGTTTTAGTGCAAAGTGGAAGGCCAGGACCAAACCTAGTATCTACCCTCAACATGGATGTATGCCCACACTTTCATACACACACTCACACCTAGATTTTTAAAATTAGGATTAGGACTACTTTCTCCTTTTCTCTGTCTCTCTGGATGCTCTTATTCATGGGTAGCCTAGGGGTTTGAAGGTTGGTAGGGTCTTGGCATGTGCCAGGGAAATGCTCTGCCACTGAGCCACATGCCCTAGTGTTCAGTGGAGGATTCTAGTTTTCTGCTGAACCACACCTTTAACACTCACTGGGGGATTCTAAATAAGTACTGTACCTACCACTGGGCAATACCCGCCAACACCTCACTGGGGATTCTGGGCCAGTACTCTAGCTACTACTGGGTCACACCACCAGCTCCTCACTGAGGAATCCTAGGAAATTGCTCTACTGCTGAGCCATGCTCCCACCCCCTCACTGAGCATTCTAGTCAGACTCAATTATGCCCACAGTCCCACAATTTAAAACATGTTTTGTCATCTGTAGTTGCTTGGCTCAGTAGATAGGGAACCTGTAGATACAGAGGGCGAATGTAAGACTCTCGGACAGAAAGCTAAGCTTGTCTTCTAGAACAAGCTTATGTTCTCTCTTTCTTTCCCTTCCTGTGGCTTCTGTAGACCGGCCAGACATGGATCTCCACTCACTGTACTCAGATTTGTGCATGCAAGGGAGGACTCTTTCAGTGCCAAAAGTTCCAGTGCCCCTCGGGGACCCAGTGCGAAAAATATGAAGATGGCAGCAGTAACTGTGTCTCCAACAGTAAGGGAGCCCATGGGAAGGGAAGGACAGAATCAGCTCATGGCTGGAGGAATCCAAGACATGGCACGAGCCCTATTCTCCTTCCACCCCATAGCTCTGAAGTGCCCAGACAATAGCCTCTACACCACCTGCCTTCCCCCCTGTCTACCTTCCTGCTCCAACCCGAATGGGCACTGTGAGGGCATTAGCACCAAAGTCGCCCCCACCTGCAAGGAAGGCTGTGTCTGTCGACCTGGCTACCTGCTCAATAAGGACACATGTGTGCATAGAGACCAATGTGGCTGCAAGGATGTCAAGGGTGACCTCATCCCGGTGAGTTGGTTTGGAGAATGGGATTGGGGATGAGTACCCTCTGCCATTCTCAGACTTGGATGCTTCTGTTTATATGGCTGGCCCTGGAGTGTGAAGGCTAGCAGGCTGTAGATTGGGGTTTTTTTTTTTTTCATTTTTCAAAGACGTGGACTCATACAACTCAGGCTGGTCTCAAACACACTGCATAGCTGAAGATGACCTTGAATTCCTGGTCTTCCTGCTTTGACTTCCTAAGTGCTGGAATGGCAGGCTGCTCCACCATGCCTGGGTGATATGGTGCTTGGGGTGGACCCCAGGGTTGTGCCTCATAGGCAAGCTCTCTACCAGTTGAGCCACATTCCCAGCCCTCATTGGGAATGTGTCAGGGAATACCCACAGCTGAAACACCAAGGTAGAGGTCAACAGAACAGGAAGAACCCTGCTGATCCACTTCTCATCTGCAGATGGGTCTAGTAGCCCCTCCTAAGCAGTGCATTTAAGACACCAAGAACGAGCTGAGGGTTGTATGTGGTCCACACCTCGAGTCCTACCGCTTGGGAGGTGGGAGCAGGAAGATCAGAAGTTGAAGGCTATCCTCAGCTACAGAGTGACTTTGAGACTGGCCTGAGCTACTTAAAACCGTATCTTAACTAAACAGAGCAAAAGGCCAAGAACAATGTCTTGAGCAGGAGGAATACATGGTACCAAGGTTCATGGCACTGTCACTGTCTTCTAGAGAAGGCTAATTGCATCAGTTCTTGGGCATCCACGGGAATTATGTTCTTGGTTCCAGGACACCCAGAAGATACCCAAATACACAGGTGTTCAAGCCCTTATATAAAATGATGTAGTAGGCTTGGAAGTGTATCACAGTGGGGAGAGGACTTGGCACATACAGAGCCCTGGGTTCCATCCCCAGCACCACATAAACCAAGACTGGTGGTGCACACCTGTCTTCTAGCACCAGAAAGATAGAAGACTCAGAAGTTCAAAGTCCTCTTTGGCTACATAGGGAATTGGAGGCCAGCCTGGTCTATATGAGACTCCATTTCAAGAAATAGAAAGAATGTGAAGGCCATCTGGCTGTGACATGGGTCTCCACCGTGACCCCCATGGTTGGTTTGGATAATGTGTCTGGCTAGGCAGGTTTCTCCTTCCCCTCACCACTCCACATGTGTCCTCCCCAGCTGCCCCTTGGGTTGAGAAGGACTGTTTTTGGTGTTTGTTTTGTTTTTTTCAAGGGTATATAGTAGCTGGGCTTCCCTGCTAGAACCTCCAAGCAAGGTCTCTAAATAAACAAACAGAACTGGGCAGATAGCTCAGTCAGTAAGTGTTTGCCTTGTGCATGAGGATGCCAGTTTGATTCCTAGAACCGCTGTAGAAAAAGCCAGGTGTGGGCCAGGAGGTGGCTCAGCAGGGAAACGCACCTCTCACAAAGCCCAGTGACCTGACTTTGATCCCAGAAACCCACACAGTGGGAAGGAGAGAATGGACTCCTGAAAGAAGTGTCCTCTGCCCCCGACCCACGCTATGGCATCCAGTGCCCAAAATAAATGTGTTTTTTCAAAAGTCAGACATAGTATATTTACTTGTGACCCCAGCACTGAAGAAGTGGGGCAGGCAGATCCCTGAGGCTCACTGGCCAACCGGCCTAGCCTACTTGGTGAGCTCAGGACTGAACAAGAGACCCTGCTTTACAGGACAAGGTGGACAGTTCCTGAGGAATAAGCTTGTCCTTTGACACTTCTCTACAAGCACATGTATATATGTGTACACACACACACACACACACACACACACACACACACACACACAAATTTAACACAGTACTTGTATATCTTCCTATGTACTTTAAATAACTCTACATGAATTCTAATGATAAGACTACATAAAGTTATACAAATAGTTCTGCTGTGTTATTTAGGGGACAATGACGTAAAATGCAGACAGATTTTCTTTCTAGAACTTAGGGCTTCATTCATGCTAGGCACCAACTCTACCACTGAGCCACACCCCAGCCCCTCACTGGGGGATTCTAGGCAGGTGCTCTACCACTGAGCCACACCCCAGCCCATCACTGGGGGATTCTAGGCAGGTGCTCTACCACTGAGCCACACCCCAGCCCATCACTGGGGGATTCTAGGCAGGTGCTCTACCACTGAGCCACACCCCAGCCCCTCACTGGAGGATTCTAGGCAGGAGCTCTACCACTGAGCCACACCCCAGCCCCTCACTGGGGGACTCTAGGCAGGTACTCTATCACACCCCAGCCCCTCACTGGGGATTCTAGGCAGGGGCTCTACCACTGAACCATACCCCAGCCCCTCACTGGGGGATTCTAGGCAGGGGCTCTACCACTGAGCCACACCCCAGCCCCTCACTGGGGGATTCTAGGCAGGAGCTCTACCACTGAGCCACACCCCAGCCCCTCACTGGGGGATTCTGTGCACACACTCTACCACTAAGTGATACCCCTAATCATAGATGCAATTTTTTGATAGTTGAACCATGTGGTAGTCTTATTATTTTATTTTTATTTATTCTTTTCTCACACAATACCTCCCACCTGCATCCTCCCTTCCGTCCCCTCCTTCCAGTACCCCCCACCTCCCCTTTTCCCCAGATCCACTACTCCTCCTTTTCCTTTCAGAAAAGAGCAGCCCTCTCAGGGATATCAACTAAACACAGCATAACAAGCTACAATAAGACCAGGCACAAACCTTCATATAAAGGCTGGAGGCAATTTTTTCAAATATTTTCATCCATAGTTGGTTGACTTAATAGATTTGGGACCTGCAATTACGAGGGCAAACGTAAACCGTTCCCACAGGAAGCTGAGCCTTACTCTCACCACCTGGGTCCCCACTTCTTCTGCAGGCAGGCAAGGCCTGGATCTCTAGTGGCTGCACCCAGAGCTGTGCCTGCGTGAGTGGGGACATTCAGTGCCGGGACTTCAGCTGCCCGTCGGGGACCCACTGCCAGCACAATGAAGATGGCAGTAGTAGCTGTGCAGCCAACAGTAGGGAGCCGTGGGGGAAAGGGGAGTGGAGAGGGTGCCCTGGTGGCTGAAGGAATCAGAGGCAGGGCCCCTGGCCTACGAGAGGGGAGGGGTTCTGGGAGACCAGTGACTGGACTGAGGTCCTTTTCAGTATTCACACTTCTTGACAGAATTGGAAAAGTGTACCATCTTTGGGGACCCCTATTACCACACTTTTGATGGCTTGAGCTACCGCTTCCTGGGTCGGATGAACTACTACCTCATCAAGACAGTGGACAAGCTCCCAGAGGGGGTGGAGCACCTGGTCATAGAGGGGCGCAACAAAGTGACCTCCACAGAGAGTCCAACTTTGCACGAAGTGACCACCATCGTCTATGGCTATAAAATCCAGCTCCAAGAAGGGCTGCTAGTTTTGGTGAGTAAGGGGCAGGACCAGACCTGAAGGAACCACCTGGAGGTGGCAAAGCCAGAACGCCCCATTGTCGGGAAGTTTCCAGGGGTGCAGACTGCTCTTAAAAGTCCAAGTTGGTGTCACTTCATGGAGAAAGGTTGGCACAGGGCAGTGGGGCTGAACAAAGGCTGAGGGGGTGAAGGGGAGCGAGGGGTGGCGATGCGCACGTGAACATGGAGCTGAAGCAGCCACAGTTCTGGTTTAAAAAACAGCTTTCTTTTTATACTTCTTTAATTTTTAATGTTTGTTTATTTAAATATTCATTTATTATTTACTTATATACTTGCGTATGTGTTAGATAAGTATATCTCACATATGTATGAGTACCCACAGAGGTCAGAAGGTGTCATGTACCCTGGAGCTAGAGTTATAAGTAGTTGTGAGCAGTCCAGCAAGAATTCCGGAAACCAAATGCAGGTCCTCTGGAGGAGCAACTACCACTGTCAACCAATGGGCCATCTCTCTCTCACTTACTTATTTACTGTCTATGCACATGCATGGGCATGCATTGCCATGGTGCATGTGTGGAGGTCAGAAGACAACTTAGAGGAGTCTCCGTTCCCCGTGTGGGTCCTCGAAATGGAACTCAGGTCCTCCAGATTAGTGGCAAGTGCCTCTGCCCACTGAGCCATCTGTCTGAGTTCTGCAAGGAAGGAACTGGGGTATAAAGGGAGGTCTCTGACAGCGGGGGTAGTGAAGACTCTGGAAGAATATCATGGTGAGGTGGGGGGAGTTGGGCAAATCCAGGCACAGACAGCAGCAACAGAGTGTGGCCCACTTAGCATGCTATGCAGCTGCAGTCTTCCGTTTCAAGGTCAACAATCAAAAGGTGTCGGTCCCCTACAATCCAAACAACCACCTGCAGATCATCTTGCGGGCACAGCGGCTGTTTCTCATCACTGACTTTGAAATGGTGGTGGACTTCGACGGAGAGCACAATGCAGGTAACAGACAGGGACACAGACAGCAGAAGATCCGTCTCTGAGCCAGGGGTGCTAGCTCACATGTGTAATCCCAACCCTCAGGAACAGAGTCAGGAGGATCTTCAATGAGTTTAGGACTAACTTGGTCTACATAGTGAATTCCAGGCTATCCAGGGCTTATAGCAGATACTGTCCCAATCAAGCCAGGTGGTGGTGGCACACGCCTTTAATCCCAGTAGTCGGGAGGCAGAGGAAGGTGGATCTCCGTGCGTTCCAGGACAGCCAGTGTTGTTACACAGAGAAACCTTGTCTCGAAAAACCAAAAAAAAAAAAAAAAGGAAAAGAAAGAAACTCAATCAAACCCAAACCAAAAAACTGTAGTCTTAGCAGTTGGAAGGTGGATGTAAGAGGGTCAGGAGTTTGAAGCTAGCCTCACCTACATGGCCGGTTTGAGTCAGCTTCTCAAAAATGAAAACAGAACAATAAAACCAATAAGCACAGAAAACAGGAACCCCATTTCCAGGATCGAAGATGGAGAGGCGTGGCCCAAACAGGCAGGTCGTGGGAAGAGGAGTTATACCTGGGAGCAGAGCCCCAGCCTGAGGAGGAGACTCGGAGTGTGGTGGGAGGCTTGAGCTTGCGGCTCACTACAGGGCACGTGCTTTGTCCTCTAGTGATCTCCTTGCCTACCATGTACCATGGGCTGGTTCGGGGCCTGTGTGGAAACTATGACAAGGACCGAGACAACGACTTCATGTTGCCCAATGGAATGCTCACCTCAAACCTCAATGCCTTTGGCGACAGTTGGGAGGTGAAGGTGGATACCCTCTTCCGATTGCCAAGGTGAGGGCTGGGAATTAGGAAGATGGCTAAGAGTCTCTTTCATTGGAGGGGTAGAGGATTGAACCTACAACCTCATGCATGTAATCTGAGCCACACCCCCAGCCCCTTACTGAGAATTAAAGTCAAGTACTCTTATCACTGAGCCACACCCCAGCCCCTCACTGGGGGATTCTAGGCAGGTCTGTCCTCCTGGATAGCTCCTACCCAGCAAGTCTCTTTTCCAAGGCCTTCACCTTCTTTCACTCGGTCTCTCACTGACCAGTGTGAACAGCTAGCTGCTCAGTGGAAATCCCCATGGTGCCCTTGCTTCGCCTTTGTACAGACTTGATTTTTCTCCTCAAGTTCACCTCCCTCCTGAGCCTCACGCAGCCCCTTACCATCCCTACTTCAGGGCCCTGCCAGAAGAAGTCGGAGGAGAGGAAGAGCCTGACCTTCTGCTCTCCGAGTGCAGCCCAGAGCAGACAGCGCTCATCAGCAGCACCCAGGCCTGCAGAGTGCTGGTGGACCCCCAGGGCCCCTTTGCTGCCTGTCACCAGATTATAGCCCCAGAGCCCTTCGAGCAGTGAGTCACAGGCCCAGTCCTTACAAGAATGTTCCACATTCCTGCTGTGGTCTTCCTCTCTGACCCCTCCAGCTCTGGGGGCTTGGTTCTTCTCCCTTGTGACTTGGTTTCCTGCCGACTCCCCCATTCTACATCCTGTCTTTCTGCAACCAATGCCTTATCCCCAAGCTATCCCTCCAGCCTGCCGACTTTCTGTGTGGGGTTCCGGGCCTCTCTTATCCCCAAGCTATCCCTCCAGCCTGCCGACATTCTGTGTGGGGTTCCGGGCCCCTCTTATCCCCAAGCTATCCCTCCAGCCTGCCGACATTCTGTGTGGGGTTCTGGGCCCTTTTTCACTAGTTTATTTTTAATCTATTTTCTACTGTATTTATTTAGGTCTCGTGTAGCCCAGGCTAATATATACCTAAGGATGACCTTGAATTTCTGATCCTTCTGCCTCCACCTCCCAAGTGCTGGGATTATAGGCATGGACCACAATCCCTTGCTTCTGTGGTACAGGGGATGGAACTCAGGGTTTCATGAATACTAAGCAAGCACTCTACCAAGTAGGCTGCATCCTTAGCTTTTGTTTATTCATGTGTTTGGGGGCATTTGTAAGGGAGATGGTATGTATATGTTTGTTCAATGTACATACCATGTATAGGTCAGAGGTCAACTTCAAGTGTCCTTCAGGAGCCATCCACCTTGGTTTTTATTTTTTTTCCTTTCTTTCCTTTTGCGTGAGCATGGATGTGGGTATGTGCTGCTGTGGCACCGGAGTTGAAAATCAGCGGTCCTGCTCTCCCGCTCCCGCTCCCGCTCCCGCTCTCCGCTCCCGCTCTCTTCTTCCTTTGAGGCAGGGTCTCACAACAAACCTGCAGCTCACTAGTTTTTGGCTAGACTGTGAGAGCGAGCGAGCGCCCCATTGATCCTTCTGTCTTACTCCCCCCACAGAGCTGGGGTTCCAGGCATGGGTGGGGATTCTAACTCAGCTCCTCACACCTGAACAGCAGGTGCTTTTTCCTAGCGCCATCTCCCCAGCTTCTGCCTTGTTTCCTGAGACAAGGTTTCTAACTTGAACCGAAGACTTACTGATTAGGCTAAGCTGGCTAAACCTCAGGGACCCTCCTGTCTCCCCTTCACCAGCCCTGGGATTACAAACCCATCATCACACCCTGCTTGTTTTTAACATGGACACCAGGGATCAAACAGGTCCTTGTTCTTGCAAGGCAAGCACCTTGTCAGCCCCTCACCCTGGGCCCTCTTCCAGCAAGGCTGGACCTCTTTGCCCCTCCTCCCTAGCAGCACACCTACCCCGCCCTTCCCTCCTACCCCAGGCACTGTATGTCTGACATGTGCGCTGGATGGAAAACCAAAGAAGAAGAGGAACTTCGCTGCCGGGTCCTCAGTGGATATGCCATCATTTGCCAGGAGGCCGGTGCCAACATGACTGGCTGGCGGGACCAGACACACTGTGGTGAGGCTCTGCTCCTGCCCAGCGGCTGGTTCTGACTCCTCAGGCATTCTGCCCTCTGCTCAGCTCTGCTGCTGCCACCCCCTCACCGTGGCCTTTCAGCCTTGATTCTTCTAAGTTCAAGGCAGCAAGGGATTCCAGACTGACCCCTCTCCCGCCCACTCCTCCACAGTCCAAACCCATTCCCCCTCCCCTCTGCCTGTATTTTTTGTTGTTGTGTTTTCTCTTTCTTTTTTTTTTTTTTTTTTTTTTTGTATGTGTATATCTCTGTGTCCATGTGTGTTTGGGTGCATGCATGCATATGTGTGGAGACCAGAGACCAGAAGTCATTTGCCTTGTTCTTTTGTTTGTTTGGGGGGGGCAGTTACATTTATTTATTGTGTGTGTGGGGTGCACATGTTCCACAGCCCACATGTGAAGGTCAGAAGACTCCTTTCAGGAGTTGGTTCTCTCCGTCCACCATGTGGGAGGGATGCAGTCCAGATCATCTTTACCCACTAAAACCATCTCACCAGCCCCACCTCGCTCTTTTGAGACAGGGTCTCTCTTTCTCCTCGGGACCCAAAGCCTGGTAATTAGGTTAGGCTGGCTGCCTAGCAAGCCCCAAGTGTCCTCAGGTCCCCACCTCCTCAGGACTGGGATAACAAGTGCATGCCACCACACCTGGTCCTCATGCCAGAGCAGAAGCACTTTACCTGCCCCAGCTGTCCCTCAGCCAGCACTCCAGGCTTATGTTTTGGGGTGGTTTTTTTTGTTTGTTTGTTTGGTTGGTTGGTTTTTTAGTTTGTTTGTTTGTTTTTGTTTTTGTTTTTTTGAGACAGGGTATCTCTGTGTAGCTTTAGACCCTGTCCTGGTAGACCAGGCTGGACTTGAACTCATAGAGATTCGCCTGGCTCTACCTCCCAAGTGCTGGGGTTAAAGGCGTGCGCCACCACCGCCCAGCATTTTTTTTAAGATTTTACTTATTTTTATTCTTTTTAAAGATTTATTTATTTATTATGTATACAGTGTTCTGTCTGCATGTATGCCTATAGGCCAGTAGAGGGCGCCAGATCTCATTACAGATGGTTGTGAGCCGCCCTGTAGTTGCTGGGAATTGAACTCAGGACCTCTGGAAGAGCAGTCAGTGTTCCTAACCTCTGAGCCATCTCTTCAGCCCAGATTTTACTTATTTTTAGTTGATGTATATGTATGAGTGCTTTGCCAGCATGCGTTCTGTGCATCATGTGCATCCTGGTGCTCACAGAGGCTAGAAGAGGCTGTCAGATCCCCCGGATCGGGAGTTACAGATGGTTGTACACAGTCATGTGGGCACTAGGAACAGAACCAGGGTCCTCTGCAAGTGCCCCTAACTGCTGAGCCATTTCTCCTGTTTTTTTGGCTTTTGAGACAAAATCTTACTCTGTAGCCCACGGTGGCCTCAAACTCATGGTGATCCTTCTGCCTCAGCTCTCGAGTGCTAGAATTACAAGTTTGTGCTACTATACCCACCCTAGCACTGTTCATTTGTTTTCATCAAACGTCTCGTGTGCCAGACAAAAGTCTTCAGGCAGAACTGGCCTGCTTGCCCTGGCTTCCCTGTCTACAGGGAGCTCTGTGCTCTATTGAATGACCTTATACGCTGCTTTCTGTTTCTCCCCAAGGCCAGCCAGCTCCTAACTATGCTTTTATCCCCTCAGCCATGACATGCCCTGCCAATACTGTGTACCAGCACTGTATGACACCCTGCCCAGCATCCTGTGCCAAATTTGTGACCCCCAAGGTCTGTGAAGGCCCCTGTGTGGAGGGCTGTGCCAGTATCCCAGGCTACATCTACAGTGATACCCAGAGCCTCCCAGTGACACACTGCGGCTGCACTGCCAGTGGCATCTATTACAAGGTCTGGGTGGCGTGGAAGCTGGGAATCTGGGTTAGAGAATGAGATCTAGAATGAGTCTAGAACGTCTCCTATCTTCGCTTCCTCCTTTCCAGCTGGGTGACAGCTTTGTAACTGACAACTGCTCCCAGCATTGCACCTGTGCAAGCCAGGGGACCCTGCTGTGTGAGCCCTATGGCTGCAGAGCTGGAGAGTCCTGCACTGTGGCCAACTTTACTCGAGGCTGCTTCCGGGGTGAGCAGGGATCCCCTTCCTCCCTGTCCTCTGCCTGAGTAGGACTCCTGCTTGGTCTCAGGAAGTCTGCACCCTCCTTGCAGGAGGGTTGAAGGAAAAGGACCATCTCTTTCCAAGAGTTTACTACACCTGTGCAGAGCTCTGCCCCAGGATAGACTTTAATCCTTACCTAACACCCCACTTTATGAGCAATGAAAATAGGGTTCCAGCCAAGCATGGGAAGACAGAGATAGGTGGGTCTCTGTGAGTGTGAGGCCAGCCTGGTCTACATACTAAGTTCCAGGCCAGCCAGGACTACATAGTGAGACCAGCACTCTCTGTCTCTCTCTCTCTGTCTCTCTGTCTCTGTCTCTCTCTCTCTCTGTCTCTCTCTGTGTGTCTCTCTGTCTCTCTGTGTCTGTCTCTCTCTCTGTCTGTGTCTCTGTCTCTCTGTCTCTCTCCCTCTCTCTCTCTTTCTCTCTCTCTCAAGGGAGGGGGTTCCAGGACTGGAAAGACAGCTCAGTTTGTAAAGCACTTCCTGCACAAATGTAGGGACCTGAGTTGGATCTCTGAAACCCATGTTTAAAAAGCCAAGCACAGTTAGAGAGATGGCTTAGTGGTTAAGTGTACTAACTGTTTCTGCAGAGGATCCAGGTTCAGTTCCCAGTACCCACATGACAGCTCCCAACTGCCTGTAACTCCAGTTCTGGCCTCTGAGGGCACCAGACACGCATGTGGTACACATACATGCAGCAGGGACTCATACATACACATAAAATGGATCTCTAGGGCTGTCGGGCTTTCAGCCTAGACTAAGCACTGAGCTCCGGCCTTATAAGAGACCCTGTCTCTAAAAAGAACGAAGTAGATGGCACCTGAGGAAAGACCCTTGAAGTTGACCTCTGGACCTTCAGGTACGCATGCACACACATACAAACACACACACACAAAGAAAGCAAATGGGGTTCTGGGAGGCTAAACACATTCCCTAAACCCAGGGTAGCAGGCTTGAAACTTCGATTGCTGAGTGGACCCAGGTCAGGCTCAGGTGACTGCTGCTTTCTTCCCTGGGGCCTGTCCCACAGCCAGGCATCCCCTGCACTGTGAATGTCCTCTGGGAACCCACTCGCAGCCTCCTGCCCTTGCAGATAGCCCGTGTCTACAGAACCCCTGTCACAACGATGGCCGGTGTCAGGAGCAGGGGGCCACCTTCATCTGCCACTGTGACCCTGGTTATGGAGGAGTATTGTGCACGGAACCTCGGGATATCCCATCCAGAAAAAAGCTAGGTAACAGCCACATCTCAGGCCTGTCCTACTGGCCATTGCTGTAGAATTACTGTTTTTAATTTTCATACACATTAGAATATCTATTATATATTACTGTTTTTAATTTTCATACACATTAGAATATCTATTACATATTACTCTGTTTTTAATTTTCATATACATTATATTATCTATTATATATCACAGATATGTGATAAGGGTGACATTGATAGTTACACTATACAATATTATTAATCTATTACAAGATATTATATATAGTATAAATAATATAGGGAATATTGTGCATTATGTACTATAGATGATATATAAAATACACAGTTATATATCACATATATAGTTTATGGTTCTATATAAATATTTTGGCTGCTCTGTATAATATATTAATAATATGTGTTAAATGTATAATATATAAATTATGTTATATATTTTAGATAGCATCAGTTATATACTATCCATTAAATAATATAATTTGTATAATACTATAGTGTATCTATTTGAGGGGTTAGATTGATTTGTTGTGCTGGGGCGAATGTGTGGGTGTCAGGGGACAACTCAAGGGAGTCATCTATCTCCTTTTGCTGTGTGAAACCCTGGAGTCCGACTCAGGTCTCCAGGCCTGGTGCCAGGCACCTTAACCTGCCCAGATGTCTTGCCAGTTCATGTGCACGATATTCAGGCATGGTGGCACAGGCCTGCAATCCTAGCATGTTGGAAGTAAAGACAAGAAGATAAGGAGTTCAAGGTCATCCTCAGCTATATAGTGAGTTTGAGGCCAGCCTGGTTATATGAAACCCCATCTCAGTTAAAAAACAAACAAACAAACAAAAAAAACCTAAAATATGTATTACATAACAACATAATATATTACTGTCTGATCCCCAGGAATCAGCCAGACAGTAGTCCTGAACCTGTCTTTTGCTCATCTCCTAGTGGACTACGCTGGGATCTTCTCTCTAAATTCCAGCACTTGTTTGTGTGTGTGTGTGTGTGTGTGTGTGTGTGTGTGTGTGTGTGTGTGTGGTGTGTGCAGGAGCAGATGCCTATTCATGTGTTTATACATATATGTGGAAGCCAAAGGACACCCCCTGGTGGTATTCTTCAAGCACAATCCCCCTTTTTTTTTTGAGGCAGGGTCTCTCACTGCCCTGAAACCAGCCACAAGGAGTAGGAGGATGGCTAGTGAGCCCCAGATCTGCCTTTCTCATCTTCCCCAGCACTGGGATTGCAAGTGCACACCCAGATTTTCACGTGGGTTCTGGGAATCAAACTCAGGTCCTTGTTCTTTCAAGACAAGCACACTACCAGCTGAGTCATCTCCCCAGTCCCGCCCCTTCTTGTTCATTTGCTTGTTTTTATTGTTTTCAGTAAGGTGTCGTGTAGCCCCGACTGGCCTTGAACTCATTATTTTGCTGAAAATGACCTTGAACCTTTTCTAACCCTCCCCCTTCCACCTCGCATGTACTAGGATTATTAGCATGCACCTTCACACCTGGCTGATTTCCACCCTCACCCCTGTTTGTGTCACTCTGTGCTGTTCCTGCTCAGTACCTCCACCACCTTCTGTTTTTCCCTACTCCAAACTGGAATTCTGTTGTACCTCTGGGCCATCCTTTTTCCAAGTCTGCGCTTGGGAGGCGTGACTTATTTAACATGTACATATCAGAATTTCCAAGAGGTTCAGGTTTGGTGGGCATAGACATCTGCTTCCCTAACAAACTTCTAGGTTGGAAGTGTTTGGGGACTGAGAAATAGTGACAGAGGACTGGAGTCTGTAGCTCAGGTGCTTACCTGGCACACACGAAGTCCTGGGTTCAGTCCCCACCATGGCATAAACTGGCCATGATGGTGCATGTCTGTAGTCACAGCACTTCAAGATGAGGCAGGGGAATTGAGAGTCTCAGGCCTGCCTGGATTACACAGACTGTGTTAGAGAAAAAAAAGGGGGGGTGGTAATGAGGCAGGAGAATCACCTTAAGTTCAAGGCTGGTCTGCCTGGGCTACATAGTGAGTTCCAGGACAGCTAGGCTAAAGTGAGACCCTATCTCAAAAGATGAAGAGGGCAGGTAGGGAGAGAGATCCAGATGACACCTGGCATGAACAGCCCTATAGAGTCTTATGGGAGTTGTGAATACAAATAGTAAGGGTGAGGGCATTAAAATCTTCAAGTCCCTGAACCTTCTGGAGGGAAAACTAGACACCAAGAGATTTAGGAGGATGAGATGCCTTAAGCTGACAGCTCAGGGCCAAAAGGAAGTGTTAGCTCCCATATCCCTCAGTCTCCCACCCTTTCACCTCTCCCTGGGGTGTGAGTATACACAAGCACAGTATGCATGTGCAGGCCAGGACAACCTTGGGTGTGGTGTTCAGATGTCTTCTACCTCTTATTTAAGACAGGCTCTTGGGCCTGGTGAGATGGCTCAGTGGGTAAGCGTGGCTGCTTCAATTTGCCTCCTGAATTTGATCCCTGGGACTCACATGGTAGGAGAGAACTAACTCCTACAGGTTAGCCTCTGACCTCCACAAGTGTGTGCGCACTCTACACACACACACACACACACACACACACACACACACACACACACACACACGTCTCACTGGCCTGAAACTTTACAGGTGTCCAGGGATCCGCTTATCTTCACCTTCTAGGGTCAAGGTTAGGGTTAGAGGCATCTGGCTATTGCTGGGATAACAGGCATGCGCCACCACATCTGACTTTTTACAGGGGTTCTGGGGATCTGGGCTTGTAAGGCAGGCACTGAGCCCACTCCCAGCGCCATTTCTGTTTCCTTTCTGCACTCAGAATCCTCCAGCTTAGCGGCCACCCTGCCAGGAGTGTTTGTGGTGGTGTTAGTCCCTGTCTTACTGCCCGGAATGTGTGTTTACATGAAGGCGAGAACTGCCATGGCGAGGAGTGGGTGAGTCCTGGTGCAGGGAGTGAAGGGGCCATCGGTGGGTGGGGCCTAATGCACACAGAAACCGTGCTCCTCATCGTTCCCCACTCCCTCTAGGGAGAAACTGTTGAGACGAGGGAGACATAGGCCGGAGGACACAGGTGAGAACCAGCCTGGGGGCGCGCAACTCCTGGCCAAGAGGTCAGTCCTTCTCCAGCATGGGTTTCCTTGCTCTTCCCTCAGATGTTCCAGAGCCTGCCTTCAAAACCACCGAGTTCTGACTTATCCTCAAACAAACAGATAAAAATATTTATTTTTTTAAATACTTTTTTTTACATTTGATATTGTGTGTTGTGTGTTATGTATGTGCAAATGTGGGTGGGTGTGCGCACACCTGCCAGTTGCATGTCTTGAGGTCAGGAGAAATTTGTGGAAGTCATCTCTCTCCTTTTGCTTTGTGGGACATGGGGATGGAACTCAGGTCATCAGGGCTTCACAGCAGACACCTTCTCCGCTGGGCTACCTTGCTAGTCCTGCACTCACTGCTTTTAGATAGGGATTTCCCTTGATTGTGGTGGAGGCAGTTAGTCAGGAGACAGACACGTGTGGATGGATCCCTGAAGGCTGGGTACTGTGCAGGGGGAGGGAATGTCCACGTGGAGAGAACCTTAGGTCTCAGGAAGGAGAATGTCACTCACTGAAAGCCAGTCAGCAGGCCCATTCAGTCCTGGTAAGTTCCAGCAATGGAAGACAGAAGGGGCAGGGAGGAAACTTCCAGAAGGAAGAATGAACTCTATAGCCCCAGACCCCTCCAAGACAGGAGAAAAGACTTCCTGTGTGCATCCTTTATTTTTTTTTTTCTAGGACAAGTTATTACGTGACCAAGGATGACTTTGAACTCCTGATCCTCCTGCGTCTACCTGTTGAGATTACAGGCATGTCACCACACCTAGTTTATGCTGTAGCTGGAGCTGGGATTTTGTAAATGCTAGGCAAGCACTCTCCTGTCTGAGCCATTTCTCCAGTGCTAATCATGTATTTTCTTTACCCCAGAAACCCCCATTTTAAAAAACGTGTGTGTGTGTGTGTGTGTGTGTGCGCGCGCGCGCGTGCGCACACACACACATGTGTGTACAGGTGCTGCTGTGACACTGTTATTGTGAAGACATGAATAGACATCTGTTCACCCCAGATAGGGAACCAACGGTGGACCAAAGTAGCGACACCACTGAAGCCCAGCTTGGTGAACTGATGAGTTTATTGGGATTACTTCCAGGAGTGTGGGAGAGTTCACTTCCAGCAGCAGAAATGATTCAAAGGGAGCGGTGATGGCTCGTGAAAACTGGAGACCTGGTGCTCCCGGCACAACTTGGAGGCAGCTAGACAGACTAGAGGGTATCTCTTCTCCACTTGTCTGGGAGTGATCTTAGCAGTCCTTACCGCTGATACAGGCTTAGGAAGCAGAGGCCTAGTGCATTTGGTGGACGTCCTGAATTGTTTACTTCCATAGCCTCCAGGAGCTCCCCTTTAGAACAGAGTCAACTTTGTTTTGTTGACTTTATGCGTGTGTATGTAAGAATGTCTGCCCTGTGTGCAGATGCCTATAAAAGCCAGAAGAGCACATTGAGCTCCTTGGAACTGGAGTCACAGGCAGCTGTAAGCCAGCCGATGTAGGTGCTGAAACCAAACTCAGGTCCTCTGGGAGGGCAGCCAGTGCCCTTAAGCATGGAGCCATCTCTCCAGCCCAACATCCTGAGCCCTAACAAGGTCCCCTCCAAACTAGGGTGTACCAACTAGGAGGAAGCTCTTGTACAGCCGTGCACACTCCCCTGTGTGCACTGGGGATGCAGTGGGCAGAGGACACCCTCAGGCCCCTTCCACCTTTTGTTTGAGACAGGCTCTCTCATTAGACTTTGACAAGTAGCTAGGCTAGCAGCCAGCTTCCATGTATCCACCTCTCTCTCCCTCCCATATCTCCCCCACTGTTTTATAGTGTACACCACTACATCCGGCCACGAGACTGAAACTCAGGTCGTCAGTGTGCAACAAGTGTGCAACAAGCACTTTACCAACTGAGCCTTCGCTCCAGCACACGCACACGCGCGCACACACACACACACACACACACACACACACACACACAGGTCAGAAGACAGCTAGAGGGAGTCAGTTCTCTCTTTACCGTCAGGTTTGGCAGCAAGCATCTTTCCTGGCTGAGCCACACCCCAAGTTATTTTTAAGGTGGTTTTGAACTTGCTACATAACCCTGGCTGGCCTTGCACTCACTGAGCTCAGTCTTCCTGCTGCAGCCTCCCGAGTCTGGGGACTCCACGGGTCTGAGCGCCCAAGCTCAGCAGGACTCCTGGTTCCTCCACTAGGGGGAAGCAAGGCTGTTCTGGGTTTTGTTTCTAATTGGCCTTCTCCCAGAGGGTGTCTGCCCCTCTTCATTCCTCCTTTTCTCCAAAGAGCCCGGCACTTGGTTACTATGGAAACTGTGAGTGGAGTTACAGGCTTTGGGAGCCATTCTGAGAACCCAGGTAGAAATGACCACCTAGCCCAGCAGAGGAGGCCGAGGTGTATATTTTGCACCCTGGGAGTCTATGTCTCCTTCTAGGTTACTCCTTGCTTGGGTGAAATCTAGGCTCTAATGAAGAGAAGACAACCAGGTGATGGATTAGACTGTAGGACCTCAAGAAACAGGGGGACTTAACCTGAGAGCATTGAGGCAGGTTGGCAGATGCCTTGGGGAGATATTAATCTGTCTTGTGTGACAACCAGACCTTTGGAGACCTTTCCTGAGCCAGCAAAAGCCAATATTAAAGTATCGAAAGGCTCGGAGAGGAGGAGGGCCCTGCATGGCTGTGCCAATCCCCTACCCAGGAAGGCACAGTGCACCTCTGCAGGGCAGCCTCCTGCCTTGAGCCCAGTTCCTGCACCTGGCCTCCACGGTTGTAGTGCTCTGATCCTTTGGCCTTCTTCTCCATTCTTTCCCACGGCAGCTCTGAAGGTCGCTATCTAGCCAGGACGTCTGTTTGGCATGGAAAAGCTGTTGGCTGGACCAGTGCCCCTGGGACACTCCCCTTCCTTGTAGTATTGAGCCCTTCCCACCCTCCAGGGATATTAAATGTCACCCAGGGAGAGGAGACAAAGGAGTTAGTGTGATTCTATGCCTATAACCCCAGCACTCCAGAGGCTGAGGCAGGAGGATAGCGAGTTCCAAGCTGGCCTGGACTATACCACAAGCCCTGATTTACAAAATATGGGGGAGGGCTCGTTCACTCAGTAGGCAAGCACTAGGACCAGGAGTCTGTCTGCAGTGGAGGAGGGGCCAGCAGCAGGAGTGGTAGTGTGGGCTTACCATTGCAGAGCTGTGGGGGGAAGAGACTGAGTTCCTAACCCTGCTGTCCAACCAGCCTAGTCCACTTGGCCAGTTCCAGGCCAGTGAGAGACCCTGTCCCTGACACACACACACACACACACACACACACACACACACACACACACACACACACACGGGAAATCACGGGCAGGAACACTGCTTTGGGATCACTGTGCTGTGGGGTTCTGCATCCCTCCACAACAGGGAGCCGCTGTGGAAAAGGCTACAGCTCAGTCAGACTCGCCATGTCGTGACCTGCCCTTGCAGGTGTCCCAGTGGGAAGGCGTACCCGGGAGAAGGGCAGCCGAGAAGACACTACAGGGGGAAGGTGTGGAGGCTGCAATGGGGTTTGGACCTCATCCTCCTCTTCCTGTCTGGGAGGGAAAGTCAGTAGCAGACACACTGGAGCGGCTCCCCCTCCCCTTCCCAGGAGGCCAGGAAAACCTGCCTGGGCAGCATCTTGAATGGGGGAATTGTCCTGAGCGCTCCCTGGCATCTGTACACACACGAGGCCCCCTTTCAACCACTCCCCCATCTTCCCCTCCCCCACAGCGCTCCAGCTGTGGACATCTGGCCTAAGTCTGTGGACACCTAGCTGGACCTCCCACTGTCCCCTGTGACCCTCTTCCCTTTGAAGGAGCTCTAGGGTAGGGCCATGGGCTACAGGCTTAGCTTCCCTCATACAACCCCTGCCAGGGCTAAGGAGACAGAGGAGGGGCAGGAGGTGGCAGCCCTACCCCGGAGGTGCCTGAGGCTCTTGGCAGGGGCAGCTGGAGCAGTTAGCACCAGCTGCCAATGACTCACCTCCCACCAACCCAAACAGAACACCCTGGGGCTGGGAGCCAACACCCAGCACCTCCCCACACCACAGTCCCACCACCTCACCTGACCCTCCAAATCCAGACCCCTAGGGGTCCCCTGTTCTCAGACTGGGACATATCCCATTTTCTTTTATTTATACAAAAAAAGTTTCTTTTTAAATATAATTTAAGAACCCCCTTCCAAGCACCGACGTCTGCCTCTGTTGAATGCCACCACCCTCCTGCCCTTTTATAACCTCACCCCCCTCCCCTCCACTTATGGACACAGCTTGGGGTCACTTGGGAGGGAAGGGAAAGGAACTGTCTGGGGCTGTGGCATTCCAAGGCACTGTTCTAGGACATATCAATGGGTCCTTGTTCCCAACAGGAGAGTGAAAACAGGTACCCTTCAACACACAGAATCTGGACCAGGGAGCAAAAAGGGAGGAAAAATAACAAAATAAAAACAGTAAAAATCTAGAACCTTCAATATGAAGGCAGATGAGGGGAGGCGCATTTACAAGGGGAAAATGATTGCCTTTGGTGGTGACAGCAGCAAGTTGGGACATCAAAGTCCAATGATTACATCACTGGGTCTTGACAGCCCCTTCCTGCCTCCTGGGACATTCTCCACTCCCAAGCTGGCAGGCTGGTCACCCTTTCTCTTTGGTCTGTAGGGACATGCCCACTGAGGTGGAAGGCGCTTGGGGAGTGAGCCCTCTGGGAAGATGGGAGATTAGGGATGTTTCTTTGCCCAGGCTTGAGGGAAAGACTCACTCTGAGTTCGGGGTTCCCCGCCTGGAAGGCACAGATAGGATTCTTACCATCCCATATGGCACAGCTCCCCAAATCCTGGGTCTCAAAGATTACCAACTCCCGACACCCTCAGTTCAAAGTGCAATCCAATGGGAGGCTGTGATGGGGGAGGGGCATCTCTATGAGTCCCCACCCAACTCTGCCACGGAAAGGAGAGGCCATGTCTCTGGCATGGTGAGTCCTTGGAGGTCAGAACTGCTGGGCTGGTCCTCCTGTCCCACCAGGGGCTCCTGGTTTAGCTTGGGACTTCATATGCTGCACACTGGCCAAGATTTTCTTCTGGTGTCCTGCCAGAGTGACTCCAATGCGGAGCAGGTCCCTGTGGAAAAACAGAAGGCTGGATGAGT